TATATATATATATATATATATATATATACGGTTCAGATGAATACTTTCAATTTGTTTAGAAGAAAAAATTAATATAAGTCTCAGATTAAAGCTTTTCAAAATTATTAAAAGAGGCATTCGAAAAAAAGGAAGCGATCGACGTTGTGTCTTAGCTCAATTGATTTCGGATTAGAAAAGAACTAAATTACATGAGCAGTTGCTTTGTTGTAGTGAAGTACTCAGTGCGAAAAGTTTTTTCCCTAATGCTCTTGAACATGGAGAACTTAAGTTGAAGGATATCTGGAATCGCAAGAAATATTTTTTTAAAAAGTTGTATCAACGGTGTGAATGAATGTAGCGTAATGGTGCTTTGCAGAGGCTCTTCAGCATACCTCTTGTATGATTCTTTAAAACGTGCGTGTGTGTGTGTGATTCGTTTCTTGTTCCTCATGAAACTAAATTTGATACTATATATCTATATTTGATAAACACAAATCCTTCTGTTGGGTACAAAGTTTCTGTTTTTTCGATATGTATCTTTTCAAGCTATTTGTATTGTCTCTTTAGTTTTTCCCTCATCTATCTTATTCACTCTTCGGTTAGAGGGTGTGTGCCTCGTTCCTGTCTTTATCGCTCGTTTTGCTTGTATCCACTCGAGGGATTAGCAAACTGAAAACAATAGTACTGATAGGTTAGCTCTAGGCTTACAGAGATGCTCCGTGCGTCAAGAAGAGTAGCAAAACTCCACGCCATAAGTGCAGCACAGGGCGATGCAACGCGATTGCCTATTAGTGCGTTCTGCTTCTCGCGCCGTCCGTATACACCGATATATAAACCAGACGATGCCACCGATCGCTCAGCTCCGATACGGCATGCGGATGAGCTTCGGGCTCTGTGGGCGCGCCAAATACCAATACCATCGCTTGGACGTGCGATCGAGGCCTGGCTTCGGTTCGGCAACGACCCTGTATTGCACACTGCCCTACCAACCCGCCATCTCTCGGGCTATTTAGAGGGTGATTTGGAGATGGTGAAGAGTGAACCGAAAGTCTCTTCGTCGCCCTTTGCCTATGTAGAGGATTACATGGGTACCAATTTGGTTCGAGACGACCCAGTGCACATCAAAGAGAGTGCTGCTGTCTGGAGGGAATACTTTGAAAAGAAGTATTCAATACGCCTGCGACAGTCTCGCCGAACGGCTTCCAACTTCATCGGTCGTCTAAATGCGCCTGAGGTTTTTACAGATGAAGCCGACCAGCCAAACACCAAGTGGACAAGCGAGGTACATTTCCGAGAAATGGCTTACCTTAGTGAAACACATCTCAAGGAAAAGGTCACCAATCCCCTTCAGTTAGAAGAAATTTTGTGGTATAAGTCCGATGTGAGTGCATTTCTGGCCTTCTTTCAAGCCTGCCAACAGGAGACCGCGACTCGTATCCCACTACCCGTACCGTCGGTGTGGGTATATGAAGGGGACGCCTGCAAGCAGTGGGCGGAAAAGTACTTACCAGTTACCCGCGCAGCACACACCTTTTTTAATCAGGTTCTCGCCGCTGATCTAAAGAAGTTCGACTCACCAACCGAACTGCTTAAGAGGGTTGCGGCCGCACTTCGACAGGTGCATGCCGTGCTACTGCGCAGACGCGAGCGGCAGCAACGACTAGGTATTTTCTGTGCACAAGGCTGGGCTGAGGCAAGTAAAGCGGAAAAGGAAGCATGGACTGCAAATGAGGTCGAGCGATGGCAGCGCAGCGTGCATGAAGGGATCTATGATCCAGAGGATCTCCTCGAAGTCTCCGACTTTGATGGGAATGGTGAGTGGTCAAAAGAGAACGAGGCTATTAGCGAAATCCTCAATGCGCCTATCCAAGGCTGTTCCTTCACACTTCAGGAGTTTTGGATGCATACCATCCGTCGTGAGGCTCTGGAAACAGAGCATATTTTGGTAAATGAGCGGTTGTGTGAGATTGACGCGGCTGCACGACGAGCGTTGTACGACACCACCGAATCCTATGCCTCAATTCTCGAGGCGTTGGAGGAGAGCATCGCGAAGGGGTGGCTCGATATTCGCGCGACGGTTTTTCAGCCCCATCCCAACCCGGTTTGGTGTGCTCTCCACTACGTGAAGTTCGGCGCTTCGTCTGTAGTGCAGCACACGAATACGGCAAAGCGACAGCTTCTCTTTCACTACGCCGCCTCCCTTAACGAGGTCGCGGCGGCTGCCTTGCTCTACTACAGCACCAAACCACGCAGTGAGAGGCTGGATTACGCCTCCCCGAACACGCTACGGCGTTCGCTCACGCAGCTCTGCGCGACCTACGCGTTGGATATGACGCACGCCGCGCAGCGGCCGATCTTGTTGAGTGCGGCGAACCTTGCGAAGGCGGAGGACGTCATTCAACGGATTTCATGGCAGGTCGCGCGGCCGTTCGGGCGGCGTCGGCGCGCCCGCCACGCTCAGGCACGTCTAAGAAACCAAAAGTTCCTCCCTGCGGTGAGTGATATCCAGATAGCGGAGGTGGAGCCCGAGCTCCTTGAGGTTGGGGAAGATCTCACATCTAGATGGCATGCCTCGCGGCAGGGGCGATTGGAGCCGATTTCTGCCTGGCCGATGGGCTCGCGAAAGGCGGTGCACTATCACTGGCCGACACCTTCACTCGAGAAGCTTCGTCAGGTGTTGCAAAGGGCTAACATCCGTGGAAACAGCCCTGAGGGCCTTACCGAACAGCAGGTCGTGGAGCTGCAGTCACTCCATCAACAAGGCGTGCTGGAAATATCGCTCTGGAGAAGACAAACCCGTGCGGAGATGCAGGCCGCGAAGGAGCGGGACGAACACGAGGAAAAGGAACTGACGATGTTGACTGAGGCGGTTCCTGAGCTGAAAGAGATTTCTGAGTACGCCAGAACGCTTTACAAACGACTTAATAGAGAGGAAATGGCTGCAAGTCACACGGGGGAAAGCTTTCAGGATACTGAAGACGAGGCAGAGGATGAAGAAGAATGGACTTTTGCATTAATGCTGGATGATAAGGCACCTCTCAATGGAGAAGAAGTTCGAGAGGTATATTTGCCCTTCACGGACAGTACTGGGAAAGAGCTGAAGGAGGGTGAGTATCGTGTACGGGTGCGTGCCTATGACGTTGAGACGAACCCCAGCGGTCACCCTACGCTGTGTAGTGAGGCCTTCTCTAACTCCTTCAAGGTTACGGACGCACTCCCAAAGCTCCTAGAAGAGTTTATTCATATTAACCCCAGTTGCACTTCAAGCGATGGAGTGGAGAAACATCCTAGTGACGGGAGGGTGCGTGTTTTGGGTGAAAAATTAATTGACCTCTGCGAATTTCTACGTGAAAAAGGTGGCCTGGACATTCCTTTAGATTTAGAGTTTGAACTTGGTCAGGAACTGGATGCGAAGGGGACCTTCTCACTCGACCGGCTCGGGACGCTGCTCCGAGGGAACACCTACCACCGCAGTTTGGCGGAGCACGGCATCACGGACGCACAGCGTGGGGTGGAGTCGAAGTGCCGCGCGCACTGGACGCTCTACCACGCGGGTGCGAATGAGGAGGAGTGGAGCTGCGCCCGGCGTGGGGTCCTTGATGAGGCGATGGCGCGGCAACGCGACTGGTGGCTGGAGGATCCGATCTTAGAGGTCGAAGACGTCGCGACCGACAGCGTCGATGGGAATTTAGATCCCACCTCCTACGTCGCCATGATGCGGTATGGGGCGGAGCTGTGTACGGTTTCGTCGGCCTCGGGAAGCACGCATGAGGCGGATCGACTTCCCCTCCCGCCGGGCGTCGTTGACAAGCACTTACGGGCGGATTGCACGGTAGATGGTACAGGGGGGATCCTCTCACTTCGTCTTGGGGACGGCGCGGGCACCGCGGCGGGGTCCGTTTCGATCGATCAGGCCCTCGCCGCCGCCCTGGCGGCGACGCAGCGCGCGCAGGATCGCCACCGAACCCTTAGTATGTTCAAACTAGGGCCAATAGAAAAGCAGGCGCAGGCCTTGAATTTTTGCGGCATCTACTCCAGTGAGATGGGGGGCAAGTACGCGCGGACTTTCTGCTACGCCTTGGACAAGGCGAAGGAGGAATTGGCCGAAACGGCGGCTGTTGGACGGCGCGCATTGGGCACGGAGGACCTCGACACCGAGCGGCGTTCGGACATGACTACGGTGGATCGCTTTGCCTCTGACACCCATCCGGAACAGCGCAAGAATCTTTTCACACCGCGCATCACTTTCAGTGGTGTGAAGTTGGATGATCCAACACCCGATCAAACCAGCACTTGGGGACGATAGTAGAGCTCATCGCAAGGAGGAAGATATGAGGGAGGTCCTCATCATTACGATGATCCCCTACGTTGAGAAGGAGACAATAGCGAAAAACGGTTCCCCTCTCCCCGCTTCCATGTAAGGGTTTTGTTACTCCATTACTTTCCCTATCGCATAATTGTTTGATCGGCAAGAAGAATATTTGACACCCTGGGATCAATGCTAGCTTCCAAGAGTACGCCATCTTTGAAGCGGGACGCGATGCAGACTACCGATTTGCGAGTCTACCTTTGGCAATGTTGTCGTTTTCTCATGCGGATGCTAGTTTTACATAATGAGGTTGGTCCAATTCAACAAAGCCTATGAGCTAATATGCATAATAAAGTGTCTTAGTAGTCACATGCACCACCTTCCAGACACGGGTGCAATTCCATTGGTTGATGCCGGTGTGCTGGGCGAGTAATCTAACACACTATATGATCCCTCATCTTTCTTTAGAAAAATTTAGGCCTTCGTGAAACTTGTTCGGTAGAAATAGTAGTCAACGAGCTGCGTCTTTTGACCTCGCTATTTGGTCTTTCTACCTCTACACACATAAAAAGGAAAAGAACTCAAATTACACTGTACAAACATACAATAACGGTAGAATACATATTCTCTTTGTTTTTTTCTCGAAGGAAATTCACTCGAAGTAGATGGAACGCTTTAAAGAGTTGTGGCAAAGTGGTCTTCATGCACGACATATTGACGAGCTCATTAATGACTCCTTCCAGGACTTTGCCCCGTACGCAGGGGCTGAGCACCAGCGCATGTCTTTTGTTCGCCAACGCGACACTACGATAAGCACTGCGGTTACCATAGAGGACAGCGGCGATTTAGCCTTCCAAACCCAGCACATGCAGGTTGGCTCGATGCTTTTCGGGACGACGGGAAACTATCAAATCAGCGGGGCCCTGCGTGTGCCACTCCCGTTGAGTTCGTCTTTTCCCGCCTCTACCAAGGAAAAGCGGGAAGCACCACTCCTGTTCAATGCCCCGCAACCCCGACCAGATTCTAGCCGTCGGTTCTTTTCCTCCTCACGTGGTGCACAGCTGATGTATGGAATCAGCCAACCGCATGCACTTTTCCCCCCTTCCGCTTTGTATGGAACTACCTTCGGACAGGTCGAGTGGGATCTAGATGTTGCTGCGCCTTGGAGCGGCCGGCATATGTACGGCGCCCGATGCGGCCCCCTCTCGGCACGTTTCACCTCCGCTCCAAACCCATCCCGTGGATCGGCCAGTAACGAAAATAGCAGCGATAACCTGAGCGGTGGAAATCCCACAGACAGGACCGGGTCCTTCTGGCGACGCTCGACGTACACCTTCGACCTTTCTTGCTGTTTTCCCATTAACCTATTCGGCAAGGAACAGCCTGCTCAGAATCCAGGTACTCCGGCAAATAATAACGCCGTAAACTCAATATCTCGGCAAGGACGTGCGGAAACCCAACATGATAACCATCCCGAAGGGCCAGTGGCTCTCACCGTAGGCTTCCGGCAGCACTTCACAGTTGGGGATACGCTTTTGGCGGTGGCCTTTCAGACTGATCGCGCTATAATGAATACGATACGGCACTACGGCTGCCCGCATGGGCTGGATGCGGTGCCCGTACCTCTCCGAGTTTCCTCCACCAAAATCATTGAGTCTGATAGAAAAGTTACAAGGGATCTGGTTGATGACGAAAGTAATGGGGGAAACCGAGAAGCAGGTGTGTGGAACTTTTTCCGTATCCCCGAAACAGCGGTTCAACTTTTGATCCTGCAAACGCTTGCGACGTCAACAAATCAGGCGCTCGACACAAGCGGCAACCCCACAAACGCAACCCTTCTCGGTACATCCGGCTTTAGCAGCCGCTGGTCCTCACTGCGCGGTGCAAACCAATCCAAAAGTTCCTCTAAACCCTGGTACTCTCTCCCAACCTTGGTGAGTTGCAATATTTCCTTCATGAAACAACTCGTGCGGCTAAGCGTGGCTTCGATATTCCATGACGAGAAGGTTGATTTTGAGGCAGCGGTGGTAATGGATACGACACCACTGATGCCGAGCACCCCGACACTTCTGAAGCTTGGCTTTAATAATGCTGGTCGGCTAGCGCTTGGCATCACATCGCTGTTTAATGACGCACTAAGCGTTACACTTGGGGTGAATGCTATGCGCGGCAAGGATATGAGATTCGGGATTGAGGTCAAGGTCTGAACCCCAATTGGGATCCAACACTACGAGTGCAGAGGATGCTGCTCTTTATTGTTGTTGTTGTAGGGGCTATTTCTCTTTTTGGTGGGTTGTTCTTGCCTTTAGAATATCAAACGGGTCTAAATCTACTCTTTTGCCTTCACAGAATTCACTTGAACACGGGGAGTATACTCTTGAGGAGCGAATGAACTCTGTTTTTTGCGCTTCTGTTTCGCGAGTGGAGATTTGGACCAACTATAGAGTGTGAATAGAAAAGGCTGGCACATAGTATTCCGTATGGAATGATATTCATCGTCAATTACATTATTTCGTTTTATTATTATTTTTGGGAAACTATAGTGTATCTTTATGGTGTTCTGGTAGATTTAACAAGCTATGAAAGAAAATTAACCATAAAGCACTTAAATTTTGCACTAAGTCTTCCGACTAATTAACGATGTTCTTCCTTTTTATTATTTTGCCTGCAGTTCATACAAATTCTTTTATATTCGGTTTACCAGGTGTTTCTAGACTCATTCGTTTAAGCCATTACTAAAAATATTCTATACTAGTTTGTTAAAACTCTTATTTTACTAATATTTGATTGATATCATAAGATATTAACTAGCATTTTTGATACTGTCTGGGTTTGTTCCACGCAAAAAAAAAGGAGTGTAGAATCTTTCCATGGCCAAGGTGTTTGGACAAGCAACCAACGGAGCCATAAATAGTAAAAATCGCCTTAAGAACAATGGAAAGGACTACAAGTATATTCTAAAGGCAATGCGCAACGTCTCCCCGTTGCGTTTCCTCCATGGCAAATTTCGTGAGCTTATCCCTGGCAAGGGTTCCGCTGCTACTCGAGGAAGAAAACCGAATGCAGGAATTGGCACAGCGGAAAGGGTGGCTTTTTTAAAAATGCTCTTTTGCGTCTCAGGTATTTACATTTGCTTTGCTCTGTGGTCTATTAAACAAGAGCGTCTTATGACTAAACCGTACACACGTTACATCTCTGAAGAGCAGCGGTGGGAGCAGAAAATGTTTCCATCTGTGCTTGGGGTGGGGTTTTGCCAGTCTCTTAGTGGGGTAGTGTGTGCTACTTTGTTTATGGCTCTGAGCTCGATCTTTTTAACGACAAAACCAAAGGCCACGAACTCCGGTATTGCACAGGCTAGTTATGGGAAAAGAGGAAGATCTCAGGGTAACTGCGTTAGCACGGCTTCATCAAATTTGCTGACAGCCAAGTTTTCGAAATTGCAGAATGCCCAGCATATTGTCATCATTGGCCTTTTTGGGCTCATCAGTACGGCATTTGGGTACTTCTCGATGCGGATCTTACCTTACCCGGTTGTCTTGGCGGCAAAAATGTCGAAGATGCTCCCGGTGATTGTGGTAGGCTTTCTCTGGCACGGTACACGTTATTCATTCGATAAAATAGCATCCTGTTTTCTGATTACGATTGGCATCCTCTGCTTCTACTTTACCGAAGAGCTGTCGGAAAAGCAAAAGGTAGTACATTCTGGCTTTAACTCGACGCAATCGACTAGAGCACGTGAAGACGACGATGCTTCACGTTTTTTCCTTTTGGGTCAGATCGGTTTTGTGTTACTATTTTTCAGTCTCACTCTCGATGGGTTTATCAGCGCTACGCAGGACGTGCTCGTGAAGCAGCAGAAGTGGTCTGGACCGAAACTCATGCTGTTTGGAAACCTTTCTTCCGCCTTATGGGCGCTTACATTGATGCTGCTTTTAGAGTATGTCGAGCCATTGGGCATGGTTTGTTCCTCCGTCATGAGTGTCTTTCCATTCAGCAGCATTATTGCTCCAGTTTGGGGCTCCGCACTGCAGCATTATAGACACCATTTCATGTCTATCAGAAGTACGCTCGCGGTGCTCCCTGTCCCCTTTCACGAGCTGTCCAAGACGATCAACTTCTTAAAAGCGTATCCCGAGGCTCAATTAGATCTACTTCTCTTGGGATTTCTGAATGGGTTTGGACAGCTGTTTGTCTTTTACACCATTTATCTCTTTGGGACCCTCACTCTGACTGCCATGACGGTGACTCGCAAAGTAGGCAGCGTGATGTTATCGATTATAGTGTATGGTCACTCTGTAAAGCCGCTACAGTGGCTGGCATTCGCTATCATCGTGTCGGGTGTGATCTGGGAAGGCCTATTCAGTATTAAAACTGTTGCGTCTTTATCCAAGGACTCATCCCTCACCGGTTCAAAGACGAAAACGGGTTGAGAAGATAAGAATGTGCAATCTGCAAAAAATATTTTTCATATATGATGATTCTCTGTAGCTTATTAAAAGACTGTATCTCATTATTTTATTCACAATATATATATATATATAGTCCCAAGAATCCCACCTTTCATCAATAAAATGAGTGGGGTAACAGAAAGGTATGTCAAAGTTGTGTTGGAAGATTTTTCCCTAGTCTCAAGCATACAGTTATCACTATTGTTTTCATTATTCCTTTCCATTACTTACAATATATGCATATAGATGCAACTTCTTCCGGTGTAATATAATCGAAATGGGAAGAGGATAATGAGCATTCAAGATGCTTGCAAATACTTCACATAAGTAGTGTTTTTCTAGTGAAATGTCTGCATTTATGGGCATGTATTTACTCATGCAAATGTCATTGAGTATGTCTTTGCATCTCGCTCCCCAAATCTTTATTTTTGTTATCGAATCTTAAGTTATACTTTTCCCATTTGACTGTCTTTTGATGTTTGGTTGTTTTTATCTTTGCAAGCAGACAGGCGACTCCACTCGACATAAAAACTGAACTAAAGGATAGAAAAGAGGAGGTCTTGCATAGACTACAAAATTTTCGACGCATATTATACATATGCATCCTCAAAAAAAGGCTGACTTCTCGGAGCGGATGATAGCCCTACTTCGTCGTCGCACCGAGCAAAGACCCCTACCTAAGGGGTATATGCGTTGCCCGCTTAATGCTGAGCACCACGTCCCTATCGCATCCATTGTCACGCACATCGAAAAGGTGCACAACGGGGATGCCCTTGGACTTATCGAAGATGCCATGTACTCTCATGGAACCAAAGCGCGCCTGGACGCGTTTTTTGAGCAGCAAGAACTCAACTATCGTAGGTGGTGTGCTAAGGATCGTTCCTCCTCAAGTGACTCATCCTTTTCCTCGTACTCGTCCAGCTACTCTACTAATTCTCAGAGCAGAAGTGAAAGTCTGGGTCGAGAGGGATGCGATGACAAAAGTAAACATATGGGCAATTCTAGATCACACCACTTGCAGCAGATGAGAAGCATTGATGATAAGACAGTGCTGTCGCCCAATTCTCATGGTGTTAACACACCTGCGCATGTATGTCCTCGTAAAAGCTTCGAGTTTGCCCATGCTCATGACTCCCTTGAACCGCCTTCACATGGAGACAATGGGCCTATCCTCCCCACTCCGTCAGGCGCCTCAGGGATGAAGCGACCTCGTTCTACAAAGCAATTGAGTAATCCAATAGCTCCTGTGAACCCTACCATCGGGGTTACGCCCCACCATGAGCCTGTCTTGCCCTATTCTGTTTCTGTTCACAGCAGCCATGAAGCCAATAATAGATATATCCCCCTTCGACAGCAGTACCTGTATGGGGCACCAGGCCTGCAGTTTCACTCCCAACCCCCTTTTCAACAGCAGGCACAGGCTTCCCTAGGCACACCTGTGCGATCCTGTTCCAAGCCGTATGAGGTCAACGCATCAACAAGTATGTCATTTCAGACGTCACAGGCTGCGGCGGGTTTGCTATCCCTGGGATCGAAGTTGGGGGCAGATGAATGCGTACTTCCGCACACGTATGCACCTTTAGAGACGGAGAAGGCCGCCTCGTCCCTTACATCTTCGCAGTCGCGTCAACAAGAGGGTGAGTGGCGCGCGCGCAGTATTATTTTACAGTATCGTACCCTCAAACCACAGTTTAACAACGCAGTAGACAAGGACACACCAGAGAACGCCTCTGCCAGAGCCGTTCACGGGGTTGCTGTTGGGGAACATGGTGACAACGAAATGTGGGATCTCTGGTGTCTTCTTTATCCCCATGTGAAGGCCAATACCGTTCAGTGTGTCACATCTTCCAGCGTTAGTGACAGGCAATCCTCAGGTCCACGGGAGAGTGCCCAGGGTCCAAGCAAGATGCCAATCACAGATTTGATTTACCACCCTCCTCGAGTGGTGTTGATAATGGAAAACGAAATCATAAAAGCTATGCTTCTAAATAGTTTAAAAGCTGACTCGGTGCTGATGGCTAAATACGAAGTTCTTCAATAGAACTTTGATATGAGAAGTGATGTGGCATGAAAGTGATACAGAAAGAATGCATAGCTAAAATTCAGATTCTTTTTTAAAAATATTATTAAGCGTTAGCATGGGTATTTCAAAGTAAGTAATAATGTGTCTCTATAGTATTTTTCCTTTACTCTTACTATCTCGCATTGCGGTCTTTTCAGTGGTAAAGGGAAGTCTTTATTTTTTTTTGAGGGTAAGTTTTGGGGTATCGCTAGTAAGAGAAGGGGATACCTTAATATTTTTTTATGTATTAGTAACAAGACCACAAAAGGAATATACATAGTCATCGAGCATCAAAAGACGATATAGAAACAAACCAAAAGAATAACTTATGGAGCACATTAATGAAAATGAAGCTACTGCAAGTGAGATGAAGGCTCTCCTTGCGGAGCTTCAAGACATTGATGGTGGGATGGAAGCTATCACCATGGACCCGCCCAATCGGTCTTTGAATAATGGGCCCAAACTGACCACAGATCAGCCCCACAGTCGCCGAACTCATCGCTTAGTAACTAAAATTCCTAAACCTATGAGCGGTCAGCTTCTCGCCCGTGATGAGGGAAATTCTTCGGCACCCACTGCGGCGGAACGTAGACGCAACTCCACGACGAGCGGTGGCAAAACGCCTGGGTTTTCGACCTACTCTATTTCACCAAGCAGCTGTAGTGGCTTAAGCGAACAATCCAAGAGACACACACCAACTCCCTTGGGCATTCGGTTGGCTCCGATCGATTCTTTAGGTGACAATTCAAAGTCTGATAGTCCCTCAAAACAAAAGGTCTCTAGATATAGCTTGAAACCATTCACAGCCACACTCCCTGGTACTCCTAATGTCTTGCCACCACTTTCGACTGATGATGCGATCGCCACTTCTCCAGTGATTGCACAGACTCCACCTCCAGATTCGGAAAAGGGTTCTCTTCGGCTTAACAAAAATCAGCAAAACGCGACCGAAAGAGATAGGTTGCCACAAAAAGCTGATTGCTCTGTCTCAGCGAACGGAAATCCGAACAACACAACCCGTTCAGGAGATTACAACTTTGAAGTTAACTTTCTACCGATTATGTGCGCGCTCCATCTAACTCAGGGTGGGCTGAAGCCACAGCCACGCTGGGGTCACACCCTCACGCCTGTTGGCGATGAGCATCTTTTTATGTTCGGTGGTATGGAGGCAACTAGTGCAGAGAGCAACTCCTTGATGGTATTTGACACGATCTCCAACGAATGGAGGCCGGCCTACGTGCTGCCGAAAGATGGTGTCTCGAAGATGCGGTCATCACCCCCTCCAACCACGCGGTACAACCACGCTGCGTGTGCATATGAGGGGAGCTGTCTGATCATCTATGGCGGTGTCGCGGTCCACGGCCATCTGGTCTATAATGACATCCATATGTATAATTCTCTAACTTGCACCTGGAAGTGCTTATGGCACGGCCCACCCTCTGATACAGCTAAAAGTCAGAGCGACACCAGCAGCGTTGGCTCTAAAAAGCACAAGAAAAACGAGCCTGTCGCGCGTTTCGGACATTCCATGGTAGTTCGTGATGATCGACTTTACATCTTTGGCGGTAAGGTTGTAGGCCAGGAAGGCATGATGACTACGAAGAGCACCGATGTGTATGTCTTTTCTGTGAGCTCGCGCTCCTGGAAAAAACGTATTAGACTGAACGGAATGGCCACAGATGATTATCCAGATACAAAATCGCCGAAGAAGCTAAACACCACCGTGTCGGGGATCATTGATATAGACAAGCAGGCCTCGGAAACTGGTAGCCCGGAAGACCTGATGGTGATAAGGAAACCCCAATCTGATGTATGCGCACTGTGTGCACGAGCTTATCACGCGTCAACCGTGAAAGGAGATATCATGTACATCAACGGTGGCACCGGGGAGGACGGAAACATCCTAAATGATACCTGGCAGCTGAACCTAAAAACAGGTGTGTGGACTTGCCTTCATAATGGCGATACTGGCGGCGCGATCCCTCGAGAACGTCACGCTATGTTTGCCTGCGGTGAGGCTATCATGGTGATTGGGGGGTGTAGTTCGACTCCCCAAAGTGCGAGTGTCATGACGAAGTTTGCCCACTTCGTGTCTGTATTACCCTTGCTGGGCCAAGCCACCCCCTGTTGGATTCCCGTGGCGATGGGCAATGCCTCTATTATTGCTCCTAACAAGAAAAACTTTGCCGCGGCGTTCTGCGGTGGGTTTGTGTACGTCTTTGGCGGCACCGGTGGATCGGAGTCAATCAGCAACAGCATGGTCTATTTTCTCGCCACAGACGGGTATGCATCTGAGGACGGCAAGGACGCGGTCGTCGATAGCGATGAATCGCTACGCCTTATGATGCAGAGTCTTCAAGACAAAGGAAGCCTCACCGTGCCCTACGATGTGCTGGTCGTCGCGGACATCGCTGGTGGTGATACTGGAGAAGGCAAGGGTAAGGACGGTGTAGGCATAGGCGGGGAGTCTCTACGCGGTGCATCGGCCTCTCCGGACAGCCGGTACCAAGTGGGTTTACATCGCGTGATCCTGCAGCAACGGGCACCAAAGTTCTTGGAAAGCCTCCTGGCGTGCCGTTCAGAGTTCGTGGTGTCTAATCCTGAGAAAGGGAGGTTAGATCACCGCAGAGAGTCACAAACGCAGAAACTACGCGACGGTGATCTCATGGATACCGATCAAGCAATGGGCATCGATGCCAGTTCTGACGGTGGGGATGCAGTGGATGCGTTACTGCTAGGGAAAGATATCCATATCAAAGGATCCCTTCATTCCACTTCTGCTTCAGGATGTTCCACAGCTGCCGTATCGAATGATCTGATGATTGGAGGGACGGCATCTGTCTCCCCGAATGCCATGGTTTACTATGTACAGGGAAATAAGCGTGTTAAAGGGTTGCCCCACCCTCTCACCGCCGAGGAACTTCGATGCTTGGCAAATTACATCTACTGGGGCGGTCTTAAAGCAAAGTTTCGACTTCTGCTTAAAGATGACGACGACGACGAGGGTGTTCAAATGAAAGGGGGTGTCTCTGCTGAGGTCAGCGAGCGACAAAGGCTGCGATCCGTCCTCATGTCCCTTCGTACCGCAGCGGATGACTATGACTTGAAGCCGCTGCATGATCTAACCGAAGCACTTCTTGAGGGTGATAGGCACCGACTGAGCAAGGCACGTCAAAGCGGTATGCTTACCCTCCGCAATGACATGATTCAACTTCTGGATACGGCGAAGGGTGCGACTGTAACGGTCCTCTTCGTTGACCCACATACTAAACAGCGAAAGGCGCACGCTTTGCATCCTGTTGTGCTGGCCAGTTCCAGTACTTTCTTTGAACAGCTACTTCGGCCCTTGTTCAAGGAAGGGAAGACTAACGTTAGTGTAGACGGCGTAGTGGCCAAGCTATCGTGTCCAGAGTTTTCTATTTTGCGAAAGCGTCTGCCACAAGGGGAGCAGGGACTCCATACGGGCCCTATGGATGCCACATCGTCTTCGAAAGCGCCCCCACTGACTGGTTCACGGACTTCGATCGTGGTGGGGCCCGTGTCTGTTCCCTTTCCCGCTATCCAGATTTTGTTGCGTTACCTTTATACGAAGCAGCTCCAGGTGCCCCAGCAGCTGGCCCTCCAGACGATGATGGGTGCCCATCGGCTCGGCCTGTCGCTGCTCAAAGCCCATTGCGAGGCCATCGTGGGCCGTTCTGATGTCAACTATGAAAGCTGCTGCTCATTTTATTTTCTCTCAAAGCGGTACAAGGCTTCGCTGCTGCGGGAAATGGCCTTATTGACGATAGTCTCTGGGTACTCCAAAGTGCGATCCGAAGCAGCTTTTCGTGACTTGCCAGATGAGGATCGTAAAATTATTGATACTGTTTCTATGGAACTCGGGTCAGACACCTGGGTACCGCCGCAGCAGCCAGCACAAGAGATCAAGCCTCTGAGTGAGTATGCTTCCCGGTGGAATGCCATTTCTCATTGGTGAGTTTTAGGTGAAATAGGAACACACAAACATTTATATATATTCAAGCATACGCAACGAATGTAGATTTATATACGTGTATAATTAACGCACATGTTTTTACACTCATGCATTTCGTTTTGCTCGCATGATACACCCGTTTAATCATCATACATTGGATTGCGTTACCCTGTTAATATTTTTGTTTCATTATCCCATTGATGTTTCTTTTCTAATCCCCACACGCACAACTTTCGTTAATTAAGAGATATATCAAGCACTGCGTGCAGTTAGGAGACAACGGTGAAAGTATTACAAGCGGATAGGTGTGAGAAAGTCAATTGGGGGAACAAAATGTGGAAGATATGGAGCACGCACTCAGCTGTTTTTTTTTTTCGAGATAAGAGACAAGCTCAAGCGAAAAAACATTTAATTTCATTGTTAACGTTTCCCATTGGTTAAATCAACGCTAGATCAGCAGTGTAATATTATTTATTTCACACGGTTTCGTCAAGAGGGGAAGGAATGAGGGAAATACTGAAAGTATTTTTTTAACCTTTTTTTTTCGATATATATTTTACTACTTTTTATTCGAAGAGGGATGGGCTTCTTTTTTGAATTCATTGTGTATCTCAGTCACAAATGACAAAAGGTTTAGCTTACGTCTGCGAATGGATTGGATGGGTTGGAAATGGCTTTCTTTGTGCTTATCTAAAGTCCAAGTGCATGCTACTATTTTCCCTTTTTTTGTTTGTCATTCAAAAAATAAAAAAAGGGAGAGTGTCCAAGAAGGTGCAGTATACCCGTTTTATAGCGCGGGGGAGTGAGCGGTTCTTTTTCACGATTCCTTTACCGATATACTACCAGCAAGAACAAAGTTGACTAACATAGAAAAGTGGAGTCAGTAGAGGAGAGACCATTCCATCTGTTATCGTAATTATCCTGACCCACTCGTGTAGAAAATGTTGCGTCACTCGCGTATCGGTAGAGAGCTTCAGAGCAGCATTAATATCGGACGTATGCGCCTCGCGCAGCAGTTCCATTCTATGGACGGCTGGCAAGCGAACCAAAGTGATCGCTTCGACAACTACATCAAGGAAAAGAGGGTAAAGGAGTACTATGAGGCCTTTGACCAGCGCGTCGAGCGGGCGTACCGTGTTGCGGCAAAAGCACATAAAACTGAAGTTTTAAATGCTTTCAAGCGCAAGCTCACTAGCAATAACGACAAGTTCACACCCAGTACGATGCTCGATATGCGAAAGGCAGTTGAAGAACGATTGAGATGGCTGCGCGATGTGTGGGCGCAGGTGGACGCAGATTATCGGAGCAATGATCCCGCCCGGCAGGAGCTGGCGGCGAAAGAAATATCCGCAGCGCTCCACGGCGAACCAGGTGAGTACATGCGGTGGGTGTATGAGCTTAAGCGTGAGGAGCGCTTCTTAGGCCCTAAGCAGAAGGCTTCGATGCATGCGGAGCTTGCAAACTCTGAGTTGCCAGAGGTTTCCAACGAGGAGGTGAATCGCTATCATAACCTCAAACTCGACATGTCGGAAATCGAACGTAATGTGAAGCTCAGGTACGACATAGCTGGGCATCAGCATTGGGCGGAGCTGCAGGCAGCCAAGGATGAGATCTACGAGAAAAAATTGGATGACGCAGCAAAAGTATATGAGGAGTTGTTGGACCAAAACGATCGATACGATGAGAGTCGCCGCACCGCACTCGTGCGTAGTCATGTGGAGCGTATGCACCAGGCCCAAGTTCGCTTCAAAGCCGCGATGGCTCTTGAGGAGGAGCGCGAGAAGCTAATAGAGGCCCATCAAGCCATGGAGGATGAACGAAAGCGTATTCTTAAAGAAGAGCGCATCGCACTCTTGAAGGAGGCTTCTGAGTTGAAACAGCAGGGGTTGCCGAGCAAGGAGATTGAAATGCGAATGCGGACGCGGCAATTAGAACAGCATGCACAGCGACAGGCGGAGTACCAGCTTAAGGAGCAGGAAGAAATCCGCGCCAAGAAGGCAAAATATCTCCAATACATTGAGAATTTCAAGATGAGCGTGGAAGAACGCGAGGGGCTCGAGCTTATGCGACAAGCGGCTCCAGCTTCGGACGGTACACGAAAAAATGTCTTTGGTTTTGCTGACGAAGATTGTCTAAGCAGTAGTGAAGCAGGTGTAGCTTCTGCACTTCAAGAGCGCAGCTTGGCAACGGAAGATTCTATGTTATCTAGCAACCCGAGGGCGGCATCTTCATCTGTCTCTGCCTCGCAGTCTTTACCATCCACTGAACGTCGTGATGCCGCGAAGAGGGACATTCTATGGAGTGAGATATCGGCAGACACCTACGAAAGTCCCTTCACTGCTATCCACCAGGCACGACTGGATGCTTCGAAGACTTATGATGATCTATATTCCAAGTTTACCCCGTTGAGCCTTGCACAGGGCAAGAAGTACAGCAAGCAAGATGAAGGGGAACATGCAGCCGGCAATGGTATGGATGGGATGGTTTTCAAAGGTGGCAGTAGTCCAGAGCGTAGCCTTAACTGGGGTGTGAGTCACATCGTGGTGCATGATCTTGACGGCGACGGCAATACCGACTACTTTTTCGATGGAATGTGGCATGTACGGGATAAGGAGACCGGTGATATTGACTGGCGCTATGAGAGGAAAAAAGGTGGCCCGGTATTCCGTGGGCCGCGCTTCTATAAAATCGGCGCCAAGCGTGAGGCAGATGATGCAGGTACATCTAGCATGGATTTCGCCCCATTTCATGGAGGTCTGGGTGGGGCTCCAGACAGTAATAGTGGTCCAGGCCCGCGAAAGGTACGCTTCCAGCGTGCTTCCGCAGACGCGTCGCTACTCAGGCGCTCCTCATCGCTAGAAGGCTGGCGTAGCAGTTGAGGAAATTTTTTCCCTTCTCAGGAAAAGTAGTGTGTTGAAGTAACGGAGAGGGGCGGATTTTCATTTTTTAGTTTGATATTTTTTGGGTAACATTGTGGCAGCTAAGGGTGAGCCCTCACTTGGTACTCCCCTCCATTTCCCGTTTGTGCTTCCAACATAGGTTATATGAGCACTCATATCTTTTACATATGGTATAACTAAAAACAACAATAGCAGGATGAAGTGTAATGATGCGGAGGTCTTAAATAACTCTTATTACTATCTATTTATTTTTCCCATATGCATTGCTCTTATTATACCTGTTTTATACCATTTAGTTTGGTTGATTTAGACTTTGTTTCGTTTTATATACAAAAATTGCAAGTAATATAAACGCTAAAAGCTTACGTTACGTTAAAACGAAGTTTTTAGATTTCACATCACAAGGTTTCATTTTTATTTTCGTTTTCATCTTCTTCATCCCCACCCCTCTGTTTGCTTTATTTTGTTGCATACATTTTTTTTCCTCCAGCTACTATAAAATTTTCTTCCGTAGTGTGTCTCTACGTCGGGTTCTTGACACTATATACATGTGGGTATCTATACGGATATAATAAAGCGATTTGTGGATATTGACAAGTAGCCCTCCTACAAATAAAAGGACAGCGAAAACTTTATAACCAGAACCATGCAAAATAGCTCTACGAATGAGAGCGGTAATGGTACCCTTCCTTGTGGAAGTAATTTGGAGGAAACCATAAGAAATATAAAGCGCGCCAACAGTGGAATATCAGAATTCTACGGCAAATTTTCAAAATATCCACCTCAACAAACTAACGAAAATGAGAATAGCATTAAGGAGGAAGTGATTTCCTTGAGCATTGATGAGGGTTCCGCCTTTGAATCCAGTAATTCTCCGCCTGGGAAGCCTTTCGAACAGGAGGAGCCTGCGAAGCAGGCAGAACACGTGGAGTATGTCGTTTCTCGACGAAGAATCGGCATTTTTCAACGACGAATTAATCTTTGCTACTTTATATGGCTTAAGCTGATCTATGCATATGACTCCGGTGCGTTTAGTGCCGCGGTCGGTGTCGAGAATGGCATAGTTGATGAATGGAAAGTAACTACTACACAGCAAGGTGCATTGATCTCGAGTGTTTTCCTTGGCAGCGTCTTTGGCTCCGCGTTTTCGGCTCACTTGTTCTCGATTTACGATCAACGAAGAGTGCTTTTACTGTCGATGATATTTCACACCCTTGCGACTTTTTCGTTTACTGCGTTCCCATTTTTCTACCTGGCACTTGTGAATCGTTTCCTATTGGGAATTACCCTGTCGTTTATCGTGGTCTACGTCCCTGTGTGGGTGGAAGAGTTTGCACCTAAGTGTCGTGAAAGCATTTGGATGGGTTTGCATAATGTTGCTGTGCCTATAGGGATTATTTTCGGTTATTTAATGTGTGCCTACTTCACTCTAAGGGTGCAAATCGGATGGGAGTGTGCTTTTTTCGCAAAGTGCCTCTTCATGTTGCCTACATTACTATTGTTGTGGCGGATCGACCCAGAGTCCATTAATGTAGGTCGAGTTTCCACTACGCAGAATGATACAGACCCGACGAAAGCTAACATTTTAGAGTTGCCAGGGGATCCTTCAGCAGACATAAACACCTACGACGCGGCCACGAGGTCATCCCGCTTTGACAGGATCAGAAATTACATTTTCCAGCGTATCGGTCTCATCTGGGAGGTTGTGCGGCCTTTGCTTTACAATACTGTTTTCATGCTTAACATGTTTATATTGTGTATGATGTTCTTTGTCGTGACGGGGCTGCAGAACTTCTTGACGCAGTACCTCCGCGAGGATCCATTCAATGCGTCGATGACTACCATTACGATTGGTTTTGGAATCAGTGTCCTAACGGCCCCTGTACTGGGGGTGTTGGTCGGCGCAGTCGCACTCGATCTGTGTGGTGGATATAGCGATGATCTATTTCGCGTAGGTATTTTTGGATTATGTTGGAGCATCCCTGGATCTATTTTTTCGACGATATGTATTTTTATTTCGAATCCGGTCTCGTTCATAGTATTTCTAGCGCTATTGCTCTTCTGTGGCGGCGCAATCGTTCCCTTTGCTACGGGCCTCACTATGAGCTCTCTGCCGGAGAACTTGCGCCCTGCCGGCGCTGCCTTCTCACAGATAGTTTATAATCTCCTCGGTAATTTTAGTGGGCCCATGGTTTGTAGTGTGGTTGCGGATTTATCAGGTGGGCTCAAGTATGGCATTATGACTTTACTCTTGTCTACCAACGTGGGGGTTATTCTGGTTGCGGTCTTGTTTTTCATCTCTACAAAAAATAGAATTAATAAAAATTCCACCTCTTCAGAAGTGGTTGTCACTTGTAACACAGATGATGTTTCCCATGATACCGCGTTTAACCCGAGCAGCAGTGAAGTAAATGCATGAGAATAATTCAAAGTAATTATCCAGCGCTCTGATGTCCAAGCAGCTACTTAAAATCAATTCATTATAGCCTAGATGAGTACGTACTACTGGAATTTAAATTGTATAGACTTAGTCAACTAGAGAGATCATCAATATAACCCGAGAGCATTGGCTTATTACATATCACTGAGCAAGACAAACTGATGCTCACCTATGGGTAAATTCCCCCTTCTTTTTTTTTCGTGGTTGCACCACCTTTAGAGGGAACCGTTCGCTCTAATTACAGTCTATGAATTACAAGGCCTGGCGCAATGCTAAACGTTCTTGCTAAAAACAAGAATGCATAATAAATGAGACTCAAACGAAAAGAATCAATGTAGGGCCTAGCCCAACCTTTCTATTGCAACCCTTTTCCTATAGTAGAGGGAACAGGAGGTAAGTGTAAACGTTTACTAATGTAAAAGTTGGTTCTGCCTCTTTATTCTTTGCTGTCCCCATCAATTTTAAGGTGGGGGAGCAGGGGGGTAAAGATACGGAAGGCCATAAGAATAGCAATTCGATCAACAATACACGGGCAGTTTACCTGGCTATTTTTTTTCCCTTACATGATAGCTGTGAAGAGGTTATGTTTGATATTTTTTTGAATCGTATATCTGATATAAGCTTTTCTTATTTTCAAAGCCTACTATGTATTGTGTCAGACTCGTGTTGATCAATAAGTACGGAGAGATTATGAACCTGAAATAGTTTTGTAGTAATGACATTTTATATTAATAATGACAAATTAAAGGATAGCTAAAGCGTTTTATACATTCTTTTTACAATTGATTAGCTTGATATTTCATCGTGTCTCTACTAATGCATTATACACACCTACTCTTTCTCGTACTTTAACATACTGAGTAAACACCGATTATCAACTTATCATACCTTTTCCTCTCTTTTCAGTGGTACATAAATGAATGTGTTGTGTAATTGTCGGATGCGAACGACAATACCTTACACACCTTTGGGGTTTCAATAAACATCAAAAGAAGGTCTGATAAGATGATACTTTTGTGCCTAGTTCTCTTAACGTTGTCTATTTATCTATCTATCTATATATATATGCCTACTTATTTCTATATAGAATTTTCTAATTCCTTAGTCGCGACCTCACACTTATATATTTCAATACTACAATGAGTAGCTCCTAAAAGAAAACATGTAACCCCATTCTTTATGTTTAAAAAGGAACTAATAGTAAACCCGCAGAATTGTGACTGGAGGACTAATGATAATGCCAATAATTCATTTTTTGCGTCTTTTATACAAGCAATTGCAGTAATAAAAATAATAAAAGTGCGAACTACTATATAGTACAAAAGGCTATATGATCTGCATATTTGTCTCCGCGAAGGCTAAACCATGTTCTCGTGTTTTTGGTGATTAAGTTTAAATTATTACTTTGCATCATCCCATTGAGTTCGTTGTATTGTGTCTTCTTAAAGGATACAATATTGAAAGAGGAATTACATTGTACAAAATATCTTGACTCTAGCAAGCACAATATGAGGCTGTGAAAAAGCGATGGTTATATTGTTTGTTGAGTTTTCTATCGTCTGTCTGTCTGGATGTGCAGTCCATCGAAGTTATTGGTATGGAAGATACTTCACAGGAACCAACTTGTTTCCTTTTTCTTTCTTGCTGCGCTGTTTTACGTTCGTTTCCGAATTTTCAAGTTCCAACTCATCAAGAGATCCAAAGAAGTAGTTATTCATCTGAAAGCAACACGTGATTTTTTTGTTTTGAGCTTATCAAGCGAAAGACTTCTTTTATTCGTTTAAGTAATCACTACTAAGTAAGGAAAAGAGTATGGCTAGCGTTTCACCCTCTGAAACCGGTGGCACCCTTGTCACTTTTCTACAGCAGCTCCGAGGCACATTAGTTGAAATTGAGCTCAAAAACTCCTCTATTGTGTCGGGCGAGATTAGCTTCGTTGACCCAAAAATGAATACCTATCTGAGGCATGCTAAGATCACGGAAAAGGGAAAGAACCCGGTGGAGTCCGAAGAGTACATGGTGCGTGGTAGTACCATTCGCTATGTTATTATGCCCGAATCACTGAACACTTATGATGTGCTCAAGAATGCAGCTGTGGCAGGGAAAAAGAAAGGATCTGCTGCGGTAAAGAATTAAATACAAGTGGCGCAAGATGGCAAGAAGTTGTGTGGGTAAAGGGGGAAAGGAATAATTCGCGTGCAGCAGGGAGATCGTTGATGCTGTGATCTCAATGAATGTGTGTTTTTGCCCGGAAATAGAGTTTAACGAAAGGTCTCCCAAACTTAAGAGAAGGAAGACATCAACCCTTTTGCACCTCCCTGATGTGTGATTTTATGGAAGAAAATGCTCTTTCTTTGCATAATATAGGGGATCAAAAAGGTGCCCATATACTCATCCACAAGAATAAGTTTGATAGTGAAGAGTAAGCTGGTCACTTTTAAGAGTGTAAGTCTCTAAAATATGCCTATTTCTTCTGTATTTCTAGTCGAACTAACATTGACGTTTTGATGAGGTTCTATGTGATTAAACCGATGTCTAGCCTATTTGCTTTCCTTTTCCCTCTTTCCTTGTGACGACTATGGGCAGCAGAGAGCTGGACAAAAAATCGCCAGTTGTATCGATTTAGATTATAGACATAAGCACACACGCAAAAATATATCTATATAGATAGATATCAGTTGGGCGTAGTTTACCCTTTTCATTTTTTCGTTTCATCCTGCATACCATTCTTCTAGTGCAGTATAGGTTTGTATAATTCGCACCTCAATACACCGGCAAAGTCTTAAACTGATTCGCTTGGCTCAGAAATTGGAATAATCAACTGTTATGTCTGCCGGAACAAAGCCTGATTTGGCTGCTGATGGACATAATGGGAGAGGAACAAATGTCTATAACAGTCGGAGATGTATTTTTAAAAGCATGCAGTACCGCATGCAGGCCCGCGAGGGTCTTGGAAACCAGCTTAAAACACCTCTTGACCCGCAGCCCTTCCCAATAACGTTAGCTGTCAATGGCTGCCGCGGCCATTGTCATGCCGATTGCCCCTGCTGTGGTACACATGAATCCACCAGTGGGTGCCGCGCTCGTCCCTCCCCTTCGGATTCATTTTCTCAAGCATGTGCTGCTACCACAAAGATTCCGCAGAAGCCAACATCGTGGGACACAGGCCTTTGGCAAGCTTTACTGAATCTCACGAAGCGTAGAGAAGTTGACATTACTGGTGGGCAAACCGCCATACACCAGGGAAACGTTCTGGAAGAACGGAAGGCCAAAGAATCAGTGAACCATCTTTATTGTCATTTTCACTGCTGTTGCCACTCCGTTAGCTCGCCGTCACCCTTATTAAAAGAGGTTAAGGAGATGAAAAAGAAGATCAAAAGGAAACCAACGTCTAATAATGCGGAATCTGAAGGTGATAGGCAAACGAAGCGTGACCAAGAGGACAACTATGCATTCGAACCATGGATCGGTAGGCCACCTTCTAGGTCTCAAGAAATACTCGATCAGATCGTAGCTCAAAAAACGTTGCGGCGGCTCGAAGAGGAAAAGGCAGCACTAGCAGAACTTGTTGCAAAATCAGAGGCCGCGCGCACAGCCACAACAGAGCCAGCGGAGGTTAAATCTTCGCCTAGCCCAACAATTCTGGTGCAGTTCTGCGGTGGGAAGGTTTCACGCGTTCTGAAGGACGCCGCCACCGAGGTGAAGAACGACAACAGCGCCTCTGCACCATCAGCATCCACCACAAATGTACTAGTGGCCCCTGGTGAGAAATTTCCCTCTTATCCCACCCCAGATACTCCGACCCCCGTCCCTGCCACCAAAGTCATTCCTCCCCCACCCGTGGGGCCGGCCTCATCCTCCATGAAATCCACGATCGGAGATGACAAACCCATGCCTGGCGGCTCACCCCCACAGCTCTCACCCTCACCCGCCGAAAAGCAGGAAAGGATCCTCCTGGAACGCGCCAACCAGTACGTGATGACGTTAGAACGGGAGGTGGAGCACCGTGGGAGGCACTTTGATCTTGCGGTAGAGCAGCTTGCCGAGGAGGAGGCTACCAACACGAGGCTCCGTCACGACCGTAATGCCCTGCTCGAGCTTAATGAAAAGTTGGAACGGGATAACGCGCAGCTCCGCGCGGCGTGGGGCCACATCGAAGAGAGGCACCACCGGTATCATGATCGGATCCACTTTCAGCCCTTCCACCCGAATGGTGGACGTCATAGCCCAAGCACACGTAGCAGTACCTCCAGCTCTACGAGCAGCTTCTCTAGGAAAACGACCGAGCACCGCCAAGAGGTGGACCCGACACCAATCAATGTGGATGAGTTTCCAGAGGAGGTCCGTGCTGCGTACGCCGCCGCTGATACCGTTCAGTCTGGTACGATGGAAAAGCCGCCCGCGGGCCCGCCCCCTTCTGCTGAAACACCGCCAAAGGTAGAAATGGCCGCGGTTCCGTCTTCGGTGGTTCCCTCGCGAGATCCCCAGGGCCCGTCCGAATCCGCGCAGCGCTCCGTCATGCAGCATCTGGTTATGGCCCATGACGCCGCACAGAAACGTCAGAAGGAACAGCAACCACCGCAAGGGCAATCGGTGGGGGTCGCTCTGACAGGCGGAATCGATTCCACCGCCGCATCCAGCGTGCAGCGACGCCCTCCGGACGCGACGGCGGCCGCCGGCAACCCTAGTTTAACCCTGGAAGCGCAGCGCTTGGCTGCATCCACCACGAAATTCGACGGTTCCTCCCAAAGCAGTGGGCCCGTCCCCCCGGTTGGTGTCTCCGAAGATCACGCCCCGGACGATGTGGGGGTGCCGCAGAAAGAGTCACCAAGCTATACATCACGCATTCAAGACTTGGAGCGTTATGTGGACCATCTTAGACTCCAAGCTGAGGCAGGGGCGGCTCGATTACGCCAACTACCCCGTCAGTTGAGCCCCCAAGCGGTAGAATCGTCTTCCAGCCTCCCGTCATCGGCACCACCAACGAATCCCCCTGGGCTACCGCCTTACGTCTTTGTTCCCTCAGTTCCATATCCCCGCAGAGATGAAAGGATTGGATTTGATGGTGCGAGTCCTGGTTTGGCACCGTACGATGCAGTTAAGCCACAGCAGTTTCAGCAAGCACGGAAGGCAGAACAAATTGCGAAGCTGAAGGAAGAACTTGCTATAGAGGGGGAGCGTATCGCTGTCGAGGCGCAACGGTGGCGGGCTTTTGTAGAACAAAGCAACTTTATGAAGCCGAAATCAATTGAGAAGTAAAGGGCATCATGCATATAGCTACGCGTCTGGGCTCGTAGAACAATTCTGAAAAGGAAATAAGAAGAGGTTAATATTCTCTAAGCAAATATTTTACCATTATTTAGAATATAAATATCTTGTATGCCTGTATTTTTCTATTAAATTTATCTTTAGATCATATAGAGTTGGATTGTTGGGAGTTATTTCGTTATTTTTCGTGTACCGAGCAGAAACGGAAAATAGTGTAGATACTACAGCGATGCAATAGGGGGTATTCCGTGATATCTGATGACGTGATGGGAATTTATGAAGCCACGCAATAAACATTTTATTCGTTCGTTTGCTACTGCACAAGGTTTCCCCTATTTTTTCCGAGCCGTTGCGTTGCCTTTTGTGCTTACGAGGAGAGGAGAGGAGGTGCTAGATCTCTCATAGTGGACTACTTTTTCTATTTAATAAGCCTATTTTCATAAAGGGAAAGGGTGCATAAAATCGTTCCGAGATTCCTGAGGACAAGGAACTGTTTTATCAGTATAGGTCTCACACAGTGTCTTTTTTATTATTAAATATTAATAATAACAAAAGCTTCCATCAACACAAAAACACTAAGGATATAACATTTACTGGGAAGGGGAGTCAAGTTTTGGCTTAATGCACGGCTTAGAAACTGGGAAAGCTGTTCAAGTTTATGATCAGAAAGAAGAGGTTGCTTTAGAAGAACTAAAAAATCGGCTAAGAGTTGGTGAGAATGCATCTAAGAAGGTAGAATCAAGTTCTGGAGAGGAGTCAGATATCCACAATGGTGTCTGGTATTCTGCAATGGAAGAGTTCCTGCTGCGTTTCCTCCGCTCCAAGAATTTTGATGTGCTGGGGACCATTGAAAAGTTAAGACAGCGTCGGAGTTTTGAAAAAACGTTACCTGGTATTAGTATTACGCCAGCTGTGACTTCGATCCTCCGAAGTGGAGCTGTGAGTGTGTTAGGGAATGATTTCGAAGATTCGCAGGTATTGTTGGTCAACCTTGAGGACCTCAAAATTCCAGTACTGGATCCTAGTGAAACCCAGCGGTTGTTCATCGTTTTGCTGGAATACATGCAATCGCTTTGCATGATGACTAAACCGCCGAGATTGGATGTTGCAGTGTCAGAGTCATGTCCGACAGACACTCCGATTGGAAACGTTTATCGGTCGTACATCCACACGAATACTGGAAGTGGTGCCCCTTCAAGAAGTCAGAAATTGACGCTTCTTGTTAACAAAAGCGACGCCCCTTTCGAAATTTACTCGTCTGTATTCAGTAAAATCACTGCACTATCTACCATCCTCGATAAATACTATCCTTGTTTCCTAAGTCGTGTACTTGTGCTTGAATCTGACCTTTCTGCTCGTGAAAGCTTAGATGTGAATCTAAAACATTGGCTGGGGAGCATGAATTGTGCGGTGCATGTGGTGGACATCAGTGCTTTGAAGTGCTTTTTGCCTGAGAAAATTATTCCGGAGAGCCTTGGAGGTACGGAGCCACACCAAAACAGTGTTGTAAGTTTTCCAGAGGCAGTTCTACAGCACTGGGACGCGCTGACATCCACTATTAAACATCAAACTAAAATAACTCAGGGGGGTTATAGTATTGGTGTAAGCCCTACCGACGCAACAGATTATTTAGCCAGCTCATCCTGGCCCTTATATCTCTCCCCGCTGTTCGCGATGAGTCCTAACTATTTTATAGATATCCAGCGTTCCTTAGGCATGCATGCTGGGTCGTGCGGGATAAATCTGCCGATTGATCTGCATGGCATTAACTTTGAAACCGCACTGAAAGAATCCCCAACCTCTGTAGAGTCCTCACTGGAAGTGGTTTCCACGCTATATTCGATTGGTCCGAGGCCCCCCTTGCGAAGCTCGCATCTACCGACCGACGACAGCATCTACTCCTTTTCTAGTGGAGACAATAGATACGATGGCTTCCATTTTATCAATCGCCCTGAGATCAAGGATGACCTGTATAAAGGTGTCCTACCTGAAGAATTTATGGGTACCAGAGAACTTGAACGGATTAGAGAGGACCCGGGGTATGCTGTCCAAGCACTGAAATGCGAGCGTGATCGCCGCCTTGCGGCTGAGCAGAGGCTGTACATGGCAGAGGTTGGCTTCCATCTTGACCCCCATCATGCCAGTCCTGTTGAACGTCGTCTAGCGGAGCTGCATCAGGAACTTAACTTACTCGCCACAGACGTCCTGTCGCGTGCGAAGGCCGCTAGCGAAGGACAAGAACCCCCGAGCCTGGTTCAGCTTCTAGATTATACGTTGACGGCGCTCGAGACGGCGGCGAATCTGCCAGAGGAAGTTTCCATCGCTTCGCTAATGGAGCCTAGACAAAGGGATCCGAATATATCAGGCTGTTGTTTCATGATGTAAATGCAATTTTCTCCCTTTGCACACACCTTATGCACACCAGAAAGGTGAAAAGGATAGAGTATGAATATGCAATGCATTCTTCAAGGAGAGCATTGCAGTGTTTAACGCGGATACCTTTATCTTGATTATTGCTATTAGCATTGATGATCTTGAAGTGTCAATCCAAGACAGTGCTTGATGTTTTTTTGTGGTTTAACTCCTTACGATGGGTTTGACGGATAACCGACATACAGTCATGGAGTTTTGCTCTATTTTGCTTACCTTTGATATGCAGATGGAACGGGTAAGTTTAACAAGATGGAGTTGTCCATAAAAAAAAAATCACTTTGTTTCTTATGCAAACAACTCGCATGGATTACTGCAATTGAATTGTTAGTTTATACAAGCATAGTAACTTTTTTCCCTTTCGTTTAGTGCGCAAGTTGCAAGGAACTACTGTTTCTGTAAATTAGTATGGCACGTGAAATACGTAAATTTTAAAAGAAAAATAAACAAAGGTTATTTCTTCATCTATTCAGGGAAAAGTAAACAAAATAAAGGATTCATAGACTCAATCAGAGGCACAAGCCGAGTGCTAAAAATGCTGCCTGTATCACTTATTAACACAATTTCTATTGGTATATTGATTTTACTTGCCTTTATTATTTTGGAATATATTTACAACAGTATCCAGCAGTTTCGTTTGTACAAGGCCTATACTTGTCATAGTCCACGAATTTTTACCTTACCCTTTCATCAGCTAGTAAACTATAGGCTTTATGAGCTTGCCCTTCAACAGTATCTGGCCGGTATCGCGATACAGCATGTAGAGGCTTACGATAGACATCTTGTTGAGAATGAAAACATTGTACTATGTGAGAGAAAATACAAGCATTTGAAAAGCGAGTTAAGATTTTTGATCTGGGCATCACATTTGTGGAGCACCATCAAAGGTATCTTTCGCGACTCAAAAGGTATGGGCAAAGCCATTAAGACGTGGAAAGAGAAAATGAAAAGGATTGCTTTTTCCTCTTCCGATAAACAAGACGCTAGTCATCAGAAGGCTGAGATACAAAAAGCAGAGTCATCTTCAATCATTATCCAGAACAGCAGTTTAGCTGTTGAACAGAACGATCGTTCCTGGGATCAAAGGGTACACCACAACGAGAACGGTCCTGCGGATGGCGTTCAGCACCAAACTGACTTAAGAAAAACGCTCAATGCATGCTTGAAATTCAACATGGAAAAGAATGAAAAGGGTCAGTCCCTTGTAATTAAATCAGATGAAACCAGCCTATCGGTGGTGGGACTCTACCTGGGTGAAGCACTCGCGCAAAATGATCGTAAACATATCACACTGCGTCTTCGTAAGACAAAGGTAGAAGTGGTACCGCAAAACAAACAACTATATCATACTAAGGACATTGTAAAATCTGATTCCGTCACTAAGAGCGTTGATAGTCCTGACGCTTCTATTCAAGCAACAAAACAATTTACGAAGAATGCACAAGATGGCTGTCTCGACGAAGTTGACGACTGCGCAAGCCACGAATTATTCCTGGAAACACAAGCAATTTCAGAACCTAGTAGGATATTGTCGTCGCCATCCCAAAATCCCTCCACACAGCTATCCCCAACGTGCGATCCGAATTCTGTTCAATCGCTTTGGGGAGCAATTATTCGTCAGGAAGCTTCCCGCATCAGGTCCGAGCTATCCTGGGAAAAGGATGTCCATGAGAATGCGCTGCGCGTGGCTTTTCACCTTAGCATGGCTGCCCAAATCAGCCCGTTGCTTCTGGAGCGCATAGGCCCACGGATTGTGCGGCGATGGCTACTTCACTTACAGCATATGCGTCCAAGCTACACCACACTTTTCATTTCCAGTGGTGTGCATGATGAAGGACTCCAAAGGAGAGGAAGTGACGCCACTTTTGACAAGACCCTATTATGCAGCCCGCACTCGTTTGGTCCCTCACAGATTCCAGATGGTCATGAAAAGACCAAGAATGGGGACTGCCTCATCCAGCGAACCCATGGGGGTGAGATTCTCCACCCATCCGGTGCTACATCTGCGGTTGAGCAGGGTGGTGGCCCTGTTGCACTGCAAACGGGGGAAACGCAGCGTCCAAAGACCCCATCGCTCGGGGAATCGGGCCCCCTGGGTGAACTTTCACCCAACACCGCGTTCGAAAGCGACGAGCGGCACGTGTGCCTTGAGACTGACCGCGTGCCGCCTGCTCAAACATGGAAGGGGGATCCTGCGGGATTCCTCTCCAAAAGAGAAGGTTCCAACCTCTACCATCCAGATTCACCGAAGCGATGCCCCGCAGGAGGCGTTAATACGAATCCGCAGAATCATATTCACAGTCCCTCCACCACGCTCGTTCCGAACAGCAATGCCTTGCGGGCGTGTTCCTGTGGGCCTGGAAATCAGACTTCTCTAAATTGCCCGAGTGGTCCGAGTAATCGAAAACTACCCCAAACCATGATCAGGTGTTTTCCTCTTGATGCTCAGGATACCGCCATGCTACCTAGGGCCCATGATCAGCGGACTTCGTACATCATTGGAGCTGATCGTGACTCTCTACTACGGGCAATCACTACCGACGCGACACGCACGTTTGCTCATGGGTTTACCAACTTTGTGTGCTTCTACACGGCAAATCTCGAAAGGGAAACGATGCGTCGCCACGAAGCGAAAAAAAAATTGCAGAAATTTGGAAAAATGCGTTTTCAATCAAACGAATCTTCAGATTCGGCGTTCAGGATAGATTCAAGTGCTGACGATACTGCTACTGGGAGTCCGATTAGCAGAGCTCCTAGTGAATCTTGCGGAAAAAAGGTAAAGAATGTGGACCCATCACTGCCGAATTTTCCGCCCCTAGTCTCATCGAGCACTCACTCTGAGTACTTCACAACTGATGGCAAAGATGGTGTTAACTGTGCTCCTATAATGAAACCTAAAAGTGAGCATTCTACACTTAGAAGGCCACGACATGTTTTTTCGAATGGTGACGACAACGTCGATCGATGGAATGTGAAAGGAAAGCTTTCATATTCCAAGTACTTCCAGAAGTTACCTGATGAATCCGTTAATGAAAAGAGACATGTAGACGATCAGGGTTTCCAGGAGGACAAAAAGACGTGCCACGATCATTGCGTGCCCACTCCAGTTAGCGCCCCAGGACAGAGCTACCTCATTCAACTGGCTCTTGCGCCTAGTATGACGCTAAATTTTCATGAATACCCACTTGGTTGCCGCAAAGCTTGTCCTTTCCGAGAGGTCGTAGAACGGCATTGTCTGGAAGCAGGAGACTTAATACCTGCAAAACATGACGCCCAAACTCCTTATACGTCGGAAAAGTTCAATACAAAGAGAGCACCAGATAAACGACCCTGGTACAGCTTCCTATTGAGCACTAAACGGTTCTTGACTGCAGCGAAAGGGCAGCATAACAAGATTGACGATGCAATTCCGAGACCACTAATCGAGAGTCTGTATGTGGAGTTGGGTCTCGATGACGTGGAGATATCTGAGCTTGCCTTGGATGCTTTATGGAGCCGCCTATGTCCTTATCTCCCTTGCCCCTTAAAGTCCTGCAGATTCTCTTCTCACTCCTTTAGTGCAGATTCTTTCACCAACTTTGATGAAGATCCCACAGACCCTTCTGACGTGCGAGTTCCCCAGAATCGAACCCAGGGTATCTTCAGTGAGGGTACCAGGCGCATGCAACGCGGCAAGGGGTGGATAGGAGTAAACCCTGAAGGATGCGAGGCGCAGGATGTGGAATTGAAAACGGGAAAGTTCAGTAGCTCGTTTCGCTATACTTTGAATAGCAGAGCTTCATCCAACAGGCGACGACAACGACTCATGGAAGGGTTGCATAACCTCAAGATGGAAAAGCTAAAACGTCAAAGTGGCTGTCAAGAAGTGGAGATCGAGGAAGACGTGCCGGTTGGTATGGCTGTCCTCCTTTTCGTTCCTTCGATCAGAACCCCTCGGTTGCCGGGGGCTACTTTTGCTGAATGTAGCAATACATCAGAGAACAAGGGAGTACTAACTAGCAGCAGGAATACTGACGAAGCTAGCAAAGCCACCCCTCTAGAGGAGTTAGAAGATACCACCGAGACCCAAATCTTTGATGCATCAGCAACCACGGAAGTGGTGCTAAGCACCAGTCATCAGAGCCTCCCGCATGCTGAGGTGGGATCTTGCTCACCCGTGGCCCACTTTAATCCACCAGCCATTGTGCTCCCAGTCCCTGATGGTACGACAGCAAAAGTAATTGAGGCTTATACTGGTCCTGCGGATGGTATCACCTCCATTGTGGTTGAGACACCACCTTTTTTAAGGGAACAGGGTGAGATCAACGACAGTAGGGAAGTGGCGGGACATGCTGAGCCAGCTTCCCCCCCGCTGACGGTTCAATCGGCGCCTTCCTGTATACCAGAGGAGGAGTCGGAACAGCAGGAGTGGGATATTGTTGTCTTGCTCTACGGCGCAACAACAAGCACCATATTGGAGGCCTTGCTTGAGGCTGAACAGGGCGCGTTGTACAATGAGATCTCATATGAGAAGAACATGGTTCCGCCAAACGCGTGTGAAAATGTTTATAAAAACGATGGAAGCGCAGAAGACTCGTCCTTTAGTTGTATCTCTGGACATTCTAGAAATATTAATATCAACAGACGAGGTGTAGGCACGCGTGACAGACATATGGGTAATGATAATGTGAACACGTCCTTCACTTTTTCGCTCCCAAACTGTAGCTTTACAGAAGCATTTGGGAATGACTTTGGTTTGATATCAGAACACGTCCTTACTAGTATGCGGTTTGCGTCAATGGGCTCTGATACGCAAATGGGCTTTAAACATGACTGCCCATTGATAGGCAACGATGCACCATGTGACAGTTCTGTCTTCTCTAAAAGTTCTATAGCTTCTACTTCTCCGCTGTCGTGTACGACATCCACCATGCATGTTCAACATTCATCGTTGCAACAACAGCAACATGCAGCTATTGTAGGAGACAGTTCACATGGTGTGGGTGTGGTCTCTATCCATAGAGATCCGTGCAGGGATTTCCCTTCGAATGCACCCACCTACCTTGATGACAAGATGTTAAATTCCATTAGAGAAGTGCAGAGGAAAAATAGTGGTGAAATCCTCCCACTCAATAGAACCACTTCTAGTATGACTTCTCCATTGTTACTTCAAGAATACGCTGGGACACCATCCCCTGGGGTGGATAGTTATGCAGAACCAGGTGTTTATCTTGTAAGGGACTTTAAAGAAGAACTCGATGGCCTCGCGTCTGGTAACCAAGAAGCACCTCCTAGCATCCCTAACGATGTGCTTGCCCCGGTATGCGACCCCATTCGCTTCCCTCAAGGGTTGCTTTTGCCGATTAAGCTGCTCTATATCCGTATTGCAAACGATCTCTACCGTGTCACTGAGGTTGTAGATCAATCTTTTACTCAATATCGAGAAAAGCGCGTCTTTAAATCGATGGAGGCACAACAACACAATGTCAAGGGAGAGAAAGGAGGGGAGTCCTCCTCCCCATCCGCGAGACTGTCCAATGGTCCAAGTCAAAGTGTGATCGATCGCATGAAAAGCGTTTTCAACACCCTCATGAATAATATTCCGAGTGAATCTACAAATCAAACACAAAGCCAAGGTCGTCCTCGAAGGAGGCCTTTTTCAATGAATACGGCTGCATGCGATTCAGTTTTTTCCATCTCTCCGACCACCCCACCGGTGCCTCACATGGAGTGCCAGTCCACGAAGATGTGCTGGCAATGCTTAAGCAGGGAGGCAAGGGTGATTTTTCTGCCTTGTGGACACTTTGCAGCCTGCGAAAATTGTTCCGATGCAATAAACAGGTGTTATGTGTGCCAAACTAGGATCCTCTCCACGATCACTCTGCTCAAGTGATGGAGCGAAGATGATGGATAGATCCATTCATTTATATACTTTTTCATGTTGTTATAATGTCTCTAAATCAAAAAAACGGTAATTAAATGTTATCTGTATTCTTAGCGGCGTTTTGTGCTATAACTCTTTTTTTTGCTGTACATCACGTGGTGCACATCTGCTATTTTTCCTCTCTATGCATAAAATGCTTAAGCACATTGGATGAATAATAATTGACGGGCCACATACTTAAATACTCTCAAAGGAGAAAATAGCAGGAAATGTGTGACCGCCAAGGTCTTGTTGGGCCCAATCAAATCTCTCACTTTTCAAGAAATCGTTGTTTTATGATTTTGATCGCTTGTGTGGCAGCGCCCTAATGGTGCCTGCTCTACGGTACTCTCTGTCATTTACTCCTACTTCAGCCACTGTCCCTCTGTTCTTGTTTGGCTTTTTTTTTTGCCTCCTCGTAGCAAAAGGATCACTTCTTTTATTGCTGTATGGGAAGTCCCAGTAGCAGTTAGTATTGAAAAATTATTTGCATATACATTGACGCTTAGTTATTTTGTGAAGAAAAGTGGCGTGTTTTCCAAAAGCACCAAGCATACATAAGTTGGTCGTAGCCACAATAGAACTCAACAAGGGATGGAGTCCTTACCCTTTAGCGCCGATGTCATGCAGCTACTCGCGCTTCTTATGCAAAACACTACCGAATCTGAAATAAAAGAAGTGCTGCAAGCAAATGGTGATGTCATGCGATTTGCGGTACCGAATTGCACACCCGTAAAGCATCAATCCATGGAAAATAAAAAGGACGCAGCAGACGATACCAATAAAGGAATGGAAATTGATAGTAATGATTATAAAGAGGTCGATTTTATTGCTATATGTAAACTTGTACTCATAGAGGGGGAGGAGAAAGAACGGGCGCAGTCGCGCGTGGTGGCCATCACGGATCTGATGTTGCTCCTTCAGAATTGGAAAGACAATTCGGGAAGTGGAAAGGTGACAGCCCAGGACTCTTTAACCAAGGACGGCACCCGCATGATCCACGACTCCGAAATGATAATGGTGAGCTGTATACTTGTTAGTAAGCGCAGAAGAAGCACTCAAGCAATTCCACTCAATATCGAGGATCTTTATATCCAATCCATTGATCCTCAACATCCACTGGACGCCCTGCAAAGGTGGCTCCAACACATCTACGAGCCGATACTTCGGCACCAAAAGCGCCAGCAGATGCTGTGGAATCAAGTTCAGGATCTACTGAGTGGTCTCCGTTCGATGAATCGTGTGCTGCCAGATGTTGTGATCAAACGTTTTGTGCCACAGGATTTGATCGAACTCTGCGCAACAAATCCCAATCTTGACGTTCCGCAACTAATGGATCGCCTTGGGGCGCTCGCACGGGATACCAGCTATATTCGTCAGGCTCTAGAGGTGAGAAACCGCTGCAAATCAGTTCTGCCACTAGCTGATTTGCTTTCTGGTAGGCGCGTAGACGATGATGAGACAAATATCGGAAAAATATGGGGCGATAACGTGGGTTTAGAAGAAAATGAAGATGCAGGTGTGAATAGATGGGTAGTGCAGGAAAAGTTGGCCTACTGGCGTCATGTGTACCTGTGGATCGAGGATGTAGCGAAGCAGTTGCAGAGCCGCGAGTGGCGGCTCGTCCACAGGCTCATAGGCAGTCGGGTTGAGACAAATTTTGTTCTGGAATACGCCGAGTACAGCAAGAAGGTTCGGGAATATAACAAGTATCTCGAAAGTATTCCTGAAAAGCAACTTGCGGATGAAAACCTCACGCTCTCAGAGCTTGGCGGTCTTGCGGAGACCATCTTCGCGGCTGTAATGTCTCCGGAGAGTCGGTATCCACCCAGGCTAACAGAAAAACTATTGTATGGCGTCATCAACGATATCGCCACATGTTGGGTGAGATTGCTAGAAAAGGAGAACATTATCGACGTGGCCGATACCAACATGTCAGTCCACACCACACCCTCGGGAACGCGAAAGGGTGAAAGCGGGCTGCTTATGGCAACGGCTGGAGACGCTCATGACTATCGAGACCATAGTTGGAGTTCAACTACTAAGACAGCCACCTCCAGTCCAGTGAGCTCTCTTCAAACGCTTTCCATGGCAATGGAGCTGCTTGCGATGTTTCAAAAACGCTTTATCGAGAGCGACGCACAACTTCAAACTCAGAAGGGTGTCGTGTTAGGTGCCCGACAGAAGAAGGCTGAGCATCCCCGACTGGCTGCGCTGTATCGCCGCTGTCTCGATGTTAGGGCACTCATGGAGTACAACTTTACACTCTTAGAACAACTGCGCCATGTCTTCATTGATAATCTTCACCAGCTCCATCCTTCTGAGGATAAAATATCTAGCAGCGACAACAAAGTCACCGATAGCAGCTGCTTTAGTAGGGTTAGTCGCAACATCGGTGATGAATTTATTAAGGGCATTCGTGCGGCCTACAGGCAGTTTGTCCAGGATACCCTTTACGAAAGTACAGGTCCAAAGGCCAGCGAAAATAGCAGCTCTCCTGTTTCTGGAGTTCTGTGGCGTGTTATCCCATCTGCTCAACAGCGCTTCAACACCGCTGTAAAGACCTATCAGGCCTACATCGCGCAGTGTGACGAGCAGATTGCTGAACTTGTGTCGAACTTTCTTTCAGCTGAGCAATGTGTGAGTCTTAGTGCCACTTCAAACCACCGTTCATTACAAGGCAATGGAGGGGAGAGCAGTAGCCCCAACACGAAGCGTTTAACCACGGTGACATCAATATCTCCTTCCTCCCTTTCCTCTACATCGGCAAGGTGCTTCGGGCTTCACCTGTTTCGCATATTTGCAGATTTCCGCTTCCTGAAGTTGGAAAAGGTGCAAAAAGTGGTTCGGGGCTACACGGCACCTCTGGGCGAGAAGATGGCACTCCATTTTAAGTATATTCAGGAAGAGTACATCAACGTCAAGATTGCCAAGCGAGAAGCTGGGTTCGCCGTAGCGCGCTATCATCTATCTCCCCTCATGGCGCAGATCATGTGGGATCGACGCCTGGATGAGGCTCTGCGTCAGTGTCTTGTGCGCTACGACTATCTCTTGGAGAATGGTTGGCATCAGCTACTCAGTCTGCGCAACATCGAGCACCTTTGGCGGCTAGACGAGCCCCTGGCAGAGTGTTTTGGGCTACTTCTGACAGACCTAGTCATACCACAGATGCAAGAGGGCTCTGTTGTGCATGGAAGTGCGTATGCCCTGGGCTATCTTCAGCTCTTTCATGCGCAAGATGAGTTAGAGTGGTCAATGGATCCGCATATCGCAAAGGCTGAGCAGCTTGTACAAAACACAGACCCATCGCTTCTACAGGTAGCCAAAGACCGTCTGCTTGCTGTGGGTGCTGGGTTCAAGAACCGTGACCGTCGAGGTGAATCACAGAGCACCCGCAGCATCTTAGTAACCATAGAGAAGCGAATAGAGGGGAAGTTGCTTTCCTGGTCTAAAAAGGTATGTGATCAGATTAGCTCCTTCACGCTTAATACCAGGTCTCATGCTCTGCAAGACGTTCTCTTCAGAGTTGTTGAGTTGCCAATGACATCGTCTTCCTTGGTGCCCGCCAATCAACTAGGGGCTGCCCCAAGCGTTGAGGCCTCTCCTGCACATAGCATTAGCGCTTCTTCTACCCCTCAGGGCAGTCCGGACAGACTGGCGATGATGGCTCGCAGCAACCCTATGGGACGAATGAACTCGGCACATGTACCCATTCTTCGCGCTCAAAACGCTGAGACAGGGTTGTCGCCGCAACCACCACAGCTGCAACTTGTTGTCGCTTTCCCGTGGGAGACCCTTACAATAGGTGAGGATCTTTGTTACATCGAAGGCAGTCTTCGGTTGCGGCCTGACTCGCCAGGCGCCGCGACGATTCAGGCCAACTTGGCCCACGTGCGTGAGTTTGTCAACGCCAACGAGGTACGCGGACGACTGGCAAAGTGCCTGGCTGAAATTCTTAATGTCTACTATGTCACGGTACGCGGTGAAGATGAGGCGATCATGATGCTCGCCACGGAGTCGTACCGAGAAGTGAACGAATGCTTTCAACGCGGGTTCACATTGCGCTGGATGGATGACGCGGCGCTCCTGCACTATGTCCAGCAGCTTTCAGATCTCGTTTATTCCTTCGCGCAGACTGTCCAGCAGGTGCGCGAGAAGACCGAAGTCGTTCTCCACAAAATTAAAGCTTTACACACTCGCACCTTCCACCCTGAGGCCATTGTCCAGCAGGTGCGTCAGATTCGACATATTCTTGACACCCTTTCAATGGGCTGTGATTACGCCTATATGTGGATTCACCGCACACAGCCGTTGCTTGATGCGGCACTTCGGGAGCAGGTGAAGTTCTTACTCCACGGTTGGTCACTGGATTTCCGTTCGATGCGCTACGATCTACGTTTTCTCGATCGTAACACTGAGACAGTAGTCTTTCACCTTAAGCCACTACGCATTCGCATGCGTGTGACTCACAGGGAGATCAGCCTGGAGACGCCCGCGGCGGCCTGGCGTTCGCACTGGATCGCAGAACTCAACCGCTATGTCACCTGGATCAACGCTCTTCCGAGACTTTACGATGATGATGACATGAGAATGGACGGTGCTGAGACGTCGTTACTCTATACCCAAGAGATTGCGTGGCTGGGCGTAGGGCGTGACACCGATCGTGCGTATTCGCATATCCTTGAGCGCATGCCAGCCTACGTGCTGGAGGAACCACTTTCCTTGATTGAGGAATGCATTGCAGACGCCATTGTAGTGGAAAATGAATGGCGGCAGAGCCAGCAGTTTTTGAACCTTGATGTTGGGGTCATGCAGTATCGCTTTGGGAACAGCCTGAAGAGGTGGAACGAGGCAATCCTACTTATCCGGCGCTTCACGCATGAAATGATGGACTATACGCAGCCTAACAAACTTCTCGGGGGGATCGTCATCGTAGCTGAAGATGCACAATTGGAGCTAGGCCGCAAAATCGACCAAGCCAATCTCTACATGTATAATAAGTTCAGGGATGTCCTGGAGGTAGAGCTAAGCCGCACCTTTCAATGCATTTCAAAGGAGAAATCAAGAGCTGAGGCTCTCGATGTTACGAGTGATATTAAAGATGCCGCCGTTTTTCTCTGTGAGGTCCAGCGTATCAAGAAGGAAATGGAAGAATATAAAGCTACAATTGGGCTTATGGCAGAAGCCGAGGCAAATTTGCAGCGTCTTAGCTACGTCTTTCCTGACCACTGGGTCCATGTATCTACCGTCAAGAATGAGTACGACGCTCTTAAGGATACGTTTGAACGCCGGCTTAAGGCCCTACAATTCCGAAGGCCGTTCCTCATGCAGTACGCTCAAGACTCTGCCAAAGAGCTGGAGGTAAATATGAAAAGTGTTGAGGGCATATTCGGCTCCTTGGAAAGTCAGACTGCCAATCGGCCACCAACTGCTGCGCAGCAGATCATCACAAACTTGTACGATCATGCAACGCAACTCAATGAGGAGGCGAAGCGTGTGTCAGCGATTCAAGAGGCACTCGGCATTATTCCCATTGACACGAGCAGTCTCACTCAGATTCTGTCGGAAACAGAGCGCCTAAAGGAGCTGTGGGATACCGTTTCAGTAGACTTTGCTAAGCTCGATGCACTTGGGGCAACACCATTTTTTGAGATGGTACCTCGGCGTTTGCAAGAGACCTTACAAGCTCTAGAAGCTAAAGTAGAGGGCTACTCACGTCGTTTCCATCACTACCAGGTGTATCAGGACCTGTTGGGAAAGCTTAAGACCCTGTGTGGTCACCATCGACTTATGCAGGATCTGCGGTCAGACTCTATGAGTCCGTTAGAGCGTGCGCATCGGCACTGGCTCTCACTCAAGCAGCAGCTCCACGTTCCGTGGGTGCTTGACAACCTCATGGTGCGTGACATTTGGGACAGCAACCCCGAAGTTAACGCAACGGTGTACCACGAAGTGCTGGAAACTGCTCAGGGCGAGCGACGCATCGAGGTTCAACTGCACCAAATAGAGGCCTACTGGTACGACTTTCGTTTCAGCCTTACACCGTACAAGACACACGTGGGCTTGGTGAAAGGGTGGGACGCAGTATTCGAGAAACTTATGGATGATCTTGCAACCTTTAGTGGGATGCGTGCCAGTCCCTATTTTTCTTCGCAGCAGGTTGTTGCCATGACGAACGAATCGGAAGGCCGCCTCAATCGGTTGCGTGAGGTTCTTGAAACTCTCCTTGAGGTGCAAAAGCGATGGGTCTACCTAGATGGGATCTTTACTGAAAATTTTGAAATACGGCAGCAAATCCCACGTGACGCGATGCAGTTCGAGCGCGCCAGCCGTGAGGCACAACAACTCTTCCCGCGAATTCGAGCGGATGGGGCGCTACCTGATGTCAGGGCTCAGTTCTTCTTAGAAGACAAGAAGCTTCTCTCTACTTTGGAGCGGCTCCTGGGCCAGTTGACTGCCGTGCAACGTGCACTGACAGTATATCTAGACGCTCAGCGTGACCGCTTTCCACGCTTCTTCTTTCTCGGTGATGATGATCTTCTTGAAATTCTCGGCAATAGCAAGGATCCCTGCTTCCTTGGTAAGCATCTACGAAAGATGTTCACGGCGGTCGCAAACTTCTTGCTAGACGGCCCCAACGTTGCCACCTCTGAAACCCTTCGTGGGCTCACAAGCCTTTATGGCGAGGAAGTTCTCTTCAAGTCACCTATTGAGTTTAAAATGAGGCCCATATCTGACTGGCTTAATGACGCGCAAAACGGCATGGTGGCTGCGCTACGCGAGAGCACCGCAAACGCCTTTGCGCAACTCCTACAACAAGGCGAGGTAACACTGGAGTGGCTCGCACTGTTTCCTACGCAAGCAGTAGCGCTGGCTGTGCAGCTCTGGTGGGTGCGTATCCAAGAACAACTTTTCACCAACGACGACACCGTGGCGGCACCAAGACATAGCACACCCGTGGAAGGCGCCGCAACGTCCACTGCTGCCGAAGCGATGAACAATGTTCTAGCGGTCATGTCAGATCACGTGCTGGGTGTCACACGTGTTAGGTCCATGAGGCATAAGTGCGAACAAGTCATCACTCTCGGCGTGTACCAGCGTGACATCTCCCGGACTTTGGCGTTGAAAAATGTAACCTCCTCGAAGGACTTTGAATGGGTGCGTATTTTGCGACCGTACTTAGTACCCACGAATTCCCACTCCTCGCCTAATAAAGAAGAAACACAGGACGTAGAATGTCGGATGGCCAATGCGGCGCTCTTACATGGGTTTGAGTACACCGGCACCCATGAACGACTTGTTCAAACCCTGCTAACTGATAAATGTTACCTAACCCTCATGCAGGCGTTGCACTTACGACTGGGCGGCTCGCCTGTGGGGCCCGCTGGGACTGGTAAAACCGAAACCGTCAAGGCGCTTGGCATGCAGCTGGGTCGTCACGTCTTGGTTTTTAACTGCGACGATACGTTTGACTTTCAGGTCGTCAGCCGCATTTTCCTTGGGTTGTGTCAGGTCGGCGCATGGGGCTGCTTCGATGAGTTTAACCGACTGGAGGAACGCATCCTATCGGCCCTGTCGCAACAGGTCCAGGTCATTCAAGAATCCTTGCGTGCACGATCGAAGGAGATAGAATTGAATAACTACCGCGTCCCGCTGCACGAAAATGTGGGAATATTTATCACGATGAACCCGAGCTATGCGGGACGCTCAAACTTGCCAGGAAATCTCAAGCAACTTTTCCTTAACATAACCATGATTGTGCCAGATCGCGAAACGATTGCTGAGGTGATGCTCTTTGCACAGGGCTTTCACTCTGCGGAGAATCTTTCAGCGAAGGTCGTGCCGCTGTTCCGACTCTTTGGGGATCAATTTTCGCGGCAAGACCACTACGATTTTGGGCTCCGTGCGCTCAAATCCGTCCTGGTAGCAGCGGGGGACCGCAAGCGTGCTACCACATCCACTACGTCTCAACCACCAACACCCAAATTGCGTGAGTTCTCCTCCACGCGCGAGGAAACTGAAGAGGAGCGTGAATGCGCGCTAATCTTAGAAAGCATCATCGCCAGCATCGCGCCCAGGCTCGTGACAGACGATGTGGCACTGTTCTATCCGCTTCTGCGAGACTTCTTTCCAGATCGTATGCTCCCAGATATGCCGATGATCGAACTCCGTGCCGCGATCCTGGAGGTCTGTGCAGCAAGCGGTTTAACTCCAGGCCCAGAGTGGGTCGAAAAGATTTGTCAACTATACCACACTAAGGATACTCGGCATGGTATCATGATAGTTGGTCCGTGCGGCTCGGGGAAGACTATGACCTGGAAAACGCTGATGGCGGCCATGGTTCGCACTAATCGATCACTAGAGGTGCAAGCTTACGTTATCGATCCCAAGGTATTAACGAAGGCAGAACTCTTTGGTAGCCTTGACGTCACCACCCGAGAGTGGAAGGACGGTGTGTTCACAAGCATCTTTCGAAAAATTCTTGAAGTTGAGCAGCAAATGATCGATCGGAAAACCCAGGCCAACGCGGAGGCATCCAAAGGCGATCCCAATGAGACAGTCACCGCGAACGTGACAGAGGTTTCAACCAAGGAGTACTGGGTGATCTTTGATGGCGACGTGGACCCGGAATGGGTCGAGAACCTCAACTCCGTTCTGGATGACAACAAGGTTCTAACACTACCTAACTGCGAACGCTTGCCCCTGCCCTCGTCGATGCGGATCATGTTTGAAACTCAGAGCCTTCGCTATGCGACACCAGCGACGGTCTCGCGGTGCGGCATGGTGTGGCTTGAAGGCGTCATCTCGCTACCAAGCATGCTCGACTTCGCCAAACATCAGCTGGAGCGTAAACCTGTTGTCGATTCTCGTGGCTGCCGTGTGCGGTGGTCGTTGGCAGAAGACATGGTCGGTGTGGCAACAAACTATTCCCAGCAGTCCACTAGCGACGCCGTCGTGGTAGGATACCGCAGCAAGACCTTCCGTGCGTATTTTATGTCGTGCCCCAGTACCGCATCAGACAAAATTATGGGTGACAAAAAGAGCCCCACCCTCCTGCAAGAGGTGTCGGCGGGTTCTACCAGCTCGTATCAGATCGGTGACGCATCTATGGAGGGTTGCCTAGATACAAGTCTGGCTTCTGAGATGCCGCATTCTATGCCAAACGAGCAGCAGGTGCCTCTGTGCCGCAACACACACCCTTCCTGTGAACGCATCAAGCAAGCTATGATGAAGGTTTGGTGTAAAGCCTTTGAGGCAGATGGGCTCATTCACAAAGGCCTGATGCTAGTTCTTGGAAACCCTGAAAACAGAGACGCTAGTATCATGCAGCCCAACGCACTTCAGATGATTGAAAGCATCGCAGCATTGCTCCTCGAGGGTGTTTGGCGGATGTTTAGCGCGGAACAAAGGGGCGAAACGGTAATCACAGAGTTGGTGCTCACGAGAAGCGCCAAGCATATACTCGAGTACGCGGTCTTCTGGGCCCTGGGCGCCTCCATGAGCTACGCCCATCGAAGCCAATTGGCAGCGCAGCTGGGCCTTAGTCCACGCTTGGACGGCCAGCCTCGAGATATTTGCGATCTCGAGGTAAGTTACTTCGATGGTGAATGGAAAGCAGTTCAGGACCGCATTGGCCAAGTCGAGATTTTGGCCGAGCAGGTCGGCATTAACGACACTGTGATCCCGACTATTGATACATGTCGACACGAGAGCCTGCTTCATGCGTGGCTGAGCGCCGGGCGCTCTGCCATCCTCTGCGGGCCCCCAGGTTCAGGCAAGACAATGTCCATCACATCTGTGCTCAACAGCTCTCCCGAATACGATGCGGTGTTTCTTAATTTTTCAAGTGGCACCAGTGTGAAGACAGTACTCAAGTCTCTAGAACAGCACTGCCGCGTGCAAAACACTGCGCGGGGCTTCATCATGACGCCCGCCTCGGGCAAACGACTCCTTTTGTTTTGTGATGAAATTAACCTTCCACAGCTTAACCGGTACGGAAGTCAGGAGGTCTCACAGTTGCTTCGCCAAATCATTGAACGTGGCGGTTTTTATCGCCCGAGCGACAACGTGTGGATCACGATGGAGGATATTCAGGTTGTGGGGGCCTGCAATCCACCAACGGACGCGGGGCGTGTAGCACTATCCCCTCGCCTCTTACGCTGGATGCCGGTCTTATTTGTCGACTTCCCGACACCGGATTCTTTGTTGAACGTTTATGGCACATACTGTCGTGCGATTCTCCGTCTTGGCAAGAAGCTGCAGGGCGATTGTGCCACACAACTGGCCCGGGCCCTCGTCAACATGTACGACCGCTCAAAAAAACAGTTCACGCCACATCAGCAGCCGCACTACGTGTACTCACCACGTGAGCTCTCTCGGTGGGTACGTGCCATCTACGAGGGGTTTTCCACCTGGGAGGAGGAGAGTCGAAGGAACATGACGACGGATATGCTGGTTCGTTTGGCGCTCCATGAGGGTCTCCGTGTCTTTTCCGATCGCTTAGTTACCCAAGAGGAGCGCGAATGGACGGATGCTACGATAAACGAGTGCTTTACGGAGGCATTTGACGGTCTAGACGCCTCTGTCTACGAGCGGCCGATTTTGTACTCCACACTGCTATCCCGTACCTATGCAGACAGTTCCCGAGAGGATCTTCGCGCTTTCTTCCGCAAAAAAGTGTGTGTGTTTTGCGAAGAAGAAATGTCGACACCGCTTGTTGTGCTTGATACAGTCATTGACCACATCGTGCGCATCGACCGAGTCCTAAGGCAGCCCCTTGGCCACGTTCTGCTTGCCGGCTCGTCTGGGGTCGGCAAGACCGTTATCTCCCGTTTCGTCGCGTGGCTTGGTGGTTACTCCCCTTTTTGGCTCAAGGTCCACCGCAACTATGATCTTGAGGACTTTGAAGAAGACCTGCGTGGACTACTATATCGCGCCGGGTGCAAACGGGAGCGTATTTGCTTTATCTTTGACGAATCAAACATCATGCAGCCCAGCTTTCTGGAATACATGAACGCGCTCCTGGCATCCGGTGAGGTGCCTGGCCTCTTCGAAGGCGATGAGTGGCCCAAGCTAGTGCAAAGCATTCGCGACGCGACTACAACAACTAATCAGATCTATCATCATGGCAGTTCCGGAAAAGGGACTGCGGTCGCCGGGACTGACGCGGCCGTGACCGCTGCCAGTTACATTGATACCACCAATGAGCAAGACCTCTACCGGTGGTTTCTTCGTAACGTCAAGGAGCAACTTCACATCGTCTTCACGCTCAACCCCTCTTCGAATGGGCTTTCTTCGCGTGCCATGGCCAGCCCTGCGCTCTTTAATCGGTGTACGATAGATTGGTTTGGCGACTGGGATGTGCCCACGTTAAGACAAATTGGACATGAGTGCATTCAGGGGCTGAAGTTGTTGCCTGCCTGTGGCGGTGGTACGGATGTGAAGGGCTTCCAAGAGGAGGAAGATATTCACCAGGCCGTTGTGCAAGCCTTCTGCGACATTCACTACCTTACGCAAGAGGTCAATGCAGTCTTACGATCACGTCAAGAGAATCAGGGCACCGTCATCACGCCCCGCCACTTCACGCGCATGATCTCGAGCTTTGTCAAGCTCCTCGAGGAAAAGCAAAACGCTTCATCGGAACAGCTGCAGCATCTCACCGGTGGCCTTCACAAGTTGAGCGAAACATCCGACGATGTCGCCGCGCAGCAGCGAGAGCTGCTTGAAAATGAAAAGCGAATGGAAGAGAGCAGCAAGGCTGCCCAAGCTATGCTTGAGCGTATTATCACTGAAACCGATGTGACTCAGAAAGAAAAAGCCGCCGCTGAAAAGATGCGAAAGCAGTTACAGGAGGAGCAGGTAAGTATCGATCAAAATGCAATGAAGATGGACCTTGACCTCCAAAAAGCAGAGCCAGCCCTTCAGAATGCCGAAGCAGCATTGAAAACTGTCAAGACAGAGCATCTTCGTGAGATTCGTGCCTACACCACGCCACCACCGATGGTCAAACGCACTCTTGAAGCAGTCTGCGCCTTGATGAATGTAAGCAATAGCGAAGAATGGGATGTAATCAAGGCCTATATACGTCGCGAGGACTTTCTGTCGAGCGTCATGTCGTTCAAGTCAGAACGAATTACGGACGCCTCGCGTAATCGGGTTTCATCCCTGATGAATGATAGCAAGTTCACAGTTGAGGCCGCGTACCATGCCTCAAAGGCTGCGGGGCCACTTTTGCAGTGGGTTGTTGCTCAGCTTCAGTACTTCGAAGCTCTTAAACGTGTGGCGCCCATTCGAAACGAGATATCCAAACTTGTCGCAGAGCGGAGCACCAAAGTTACTGCGCTAGAGAGAATCGAGGTTGAAATTGGGGAGAAGGAGGCCTTACTGCTGCAGCTCAAGGAAGGTTACCGAAACACAACGGAAGAGATTGCCGAGCTTAAGAAGAACATTTCAGTGGTCTCGGCGAAGTGTGAGCGCGCCAACACCATCCTCGGGCAATTGCTTGAGGAACGTAGCCGGTGGGAGCAAGAGGTGTCTAATTTTGGTCGCGAAGCCCGTACCACTCTTGGCGATTGCATCGTCTCCGCTGCGTTTCTCGTTTATATTGGTTTCTTTGTCGAATCCGTCCGCCGGCAGATTTTACTGCCGCGTTGGATGGAGGAAGTAGGAATTACAAACGCCATCCCCGTCCGGGCACACCTGAGCGTGACGGATTACCTGGTCTCTCCCGTGGATCGCCTGCGATGGGAGGAAAGTGGCCTGTCCAAGGATCTCCTCTGCATCGAGAACGCGGTGGTCATGGAACGTTGTCAGAATCACTATCCACTGATCATCGACCCGGCAAGTTCGATGATTCCGTTCCTGAAGCAGTACTACGCGAAGCAGAACATCACCAACGCAAGCTTTGGCAGGCCTGGGTATCTGAAACAGCTGGAGATGGCGATGCGGTTTGGCTACCCGATCATCCTGGAGGACGCCGAGCTCCTCGACCCGGCAGTATCGCCGCTGCTGAATCAGGAGTTTCGGCGTCTCGGCGGGCGCGTCCTCACACGGGTTGGGGCCCAGGACGTGGATCTGGCCCCGACCTTCCGACTTTTCCTCGTCACTCGGGATCCCGATTTTCAGACTAAAGTAAGCCTCGCGGGGCAGGTTAGCATGATCAACTTCACCGTAACACCCTCGCTGCTGCAGTCGCAGTGCCTTCACCAGATCCTACTGCACGAGCGACGCGATGTCGATGCCAAGCGCACGGAGCTTCTCAGTCTTCAGGGCTCCTACACCCTCAAGCTGCGGGTGCTGGAGCAGAAGCTTCTGACCTCTATCGCTGAGTCGCAGGGCAGTCTTCTGGAAAATGACGTATTGATTGAATCCCTAGCTCAGCTCAAGCATGAGGCGGCGCGGATTAAGGACGGTCTTGAAGACAGCGAGTCGGCTTTGGCAGCTATGGAGCGTGTGGAAGCTCGCTATCGCCCGGTCGCAGCGATTGCATCCCATATCTTCTTCGGGCTCAAACGTTTCAACGAGCTTAGCCACTTTTATCGGTACAACGAACGCTTTCTCTTTCGCGTGATCGACGATTCGCTAGAAGCATTGCCCAAAAAACCCGACACCCTTCCGTCCAACTCGGTGGATGACCCCCAGTCCAGCATGAGGGACGCGCAGCAAGACAAGCAGGACCTGTCGCAGGATACAGAGACGATGGAGGAGCGCTCACGTATTAACATGCTCACCCGAAATATTTTCACACTCATCCACCGCCGCGTTGTGCGAGGAATGTTTCAAGAAGATCATCTCGTACTGGCCCTGCGGCTGGCCCAAAATTGGAGCTCCATGTACTCTGTGGGAGGAGGAGATCCTAATGCTGGTGGACCGTCGTACCGGGAGACCCCTTTTCACGATACGCAGTCAGCAGGTGATCGGGTTTCTTCTTCTTCATTCAGCGATATAACTAATTCCGAATGGGACTGGCTTCTGGAGGGTCTGAAAGGGGGCTTACATGTCGCCGAAACAGTTTCCCCACCATCTTCGACAGAAGATGCCACGTCCTTGCCTTTGCCAGGTGTATTGACGCGGAATGGAGTGCTTGAGCCTGGATCACAAAATCGTGTCGCACTGCACCAATTACTCGAAAAAACGGCCTTTTTGGAAATTCGGGACTCAATGGAAAGCTGTGCTTCTGCCTGGGAAACCTTTTTCAACTCCCGGGACCCGATTGACGAGCTTGACCAGCTTCCCGCGACGTGCTTTCCGTGTGGCGTCACACCTGTTCGCAAACTGTTTCTGGTCACCCTTCTCCTATTGTATGTCCGTCGAGACCACTTTTTGTCCGCTGCCGGCAAATTACTCCGTGCGTTTTTCCGAGACGATGATGGCGACTGTGCGGTGGGTAGCTTCTTCTCGCACATAACGCATAGCATCCCTGAGGTTCTACCGGAGCTTTCGTCTTCGACGCCACTTGTCTTGATCACCGATGCTAGCTACGACCCCTCTGCGCGAGTTGAACAAGCTGCTCAAGACGCAGGCATACCACTACGTGTTGTGGCCATGGGTAGCGGCGAAAGCACGGTATGCGCCGATCGCTACCTAGAAGAGGGCTCCAAGATGGGATGTTGGGTGCTCCTTAAAAATATGCACCTCGCACGCACCTACATGGATTCAGTGGAAAGGTATCTACATCACCAAGAGTCCACAACGACTATAAATCCCAATTTCCGATTGTTTCTGACAATCGAGCGCGGCCCACGTGAAACCGCGGGTCATGCGGTTGGGATGGATGCATCTGCCCCCACCGAAGGTGGCAGCTCACTAGCGGGACCTGGAGGCAGTGGTGAAAAGCGAAAGCAAAGAGATACAATATCCGTTAGCTTTTTGGAGAAGGCCGTCACGATGGTGTACGAGGCACCACCGGGGATTAAATCGGCGCTATTGCAGACCTACGGCACACTTGGAAGCACGACAACGGCAGAAAGCACATCGACAGCAAGGACCGCTGCCATTGGGATCATGTCTGCCGCAGTGTGTTCGGCTCAGGGCACGCGAATTGAGCGCCTCTACTTGGCCGCGGCATGGTTGCACGCGGTGATTGTCGAGCGAGTTTCCTACGTCCCCTTGGGCTGGAGCCAGACGTACGAATACAGCGATGCAGATTATCTGCGTGTGGTGCAAGCCATCATGGCGTGGTCCGAGGTGAGGGAGCCGTCTGAAACACGGGAGGCCGCTGGGCCTGCCTGCCCGATTGTTTTTTGGAATGCCTTACGCCGCATTGTGGCAACCACCGTGTACGGCAGCCGAATATGCAACCCCTTTGATGAGCATGTCCTCAACATTTTATGTAACCGCGTGCTGGACCCTAGTGTGTTCGATAAGGATCACTGTTTTGTGCACCTGCCTGGCGGTCGGAGCGGGGCTCACCAGACCTCCTTACTGCCGCCGCTACCTCCACAGGCGTGGTCGCGAGACGATTTGCTAGAATGGATCGCGTCGTTACCGGAAGGGAATGGAAATCCACAGTGGTTAGGGTTACCCAGCGGAGTCGCCCGCATGGCGGCCTCCCGTCGAGCCTTGGAAACGATCCAACGACTCGTTACTGTGCAAACGGTGCTCCGTGAAGATGTCCACGGGGCTCCCTCTGCCCCGAGTCCGCTCCATCCGCGTGCGGGTGGGGCCGTGGGGAAGAAAAACAAACGTGGAGCCCCTGCCCAGGCCACTCCGCCCTATCCCACCTCCGTGAGTGTCGTCACGGGCACCGAATGGCAAAGCAAGCTACGAGGGTTCTGCGAGGTCTGGCATCCGATCCTATGCCGGGAGCTGGAAAAGCTAGGGCAGCATAGTTTTGTGGTCAACGCCTTGGAATCGGCGGACGTGGCGCAGTCCGAAGAGCAGCATCTGATGGGGATCGCGAAGAGCGCGACGCATGCGCGGAATGTGGGGTCGAAGGCATCTCCTGCCCCTCCCTCCATGACGGCGGCATCCCCTCTCATGCTGGCCGTGCAACGCGAAGCGGTAGCCTTGGTTACCCTACTCCGCCACGTGGAAAGCGACTTGTACGAACTGGGGAAGGTGTGCTCGGGGGAACACGTGTTTAACTCGGCGCGTCGTTTGCTTGTTGAGGAGATCGTCAAGGATCGTGTGCCCGCCACATGGTCCAGTTATGCCTCCATTACCAAAGCAATTCTACTCGTCTCGCCATGGCTCACCGATGTCCAGTCCCGAGCGCAACATCTGCTCACACTCGTTTCGGCGACCGCTGAAAACAAACTTCACGAGATGCCCATCTCACTGGGGTTGCTTTTCTCCCCAGATGCATTTTTGATGGCATCCAAGCAGCAGTATGCGCGAGAAATGAAGTGCCCATTGGAGCAACTTCACTCAAAAGTCGAATTCATGGCTGAAAAGACTTCATGGAGGGACACACCATCTGAAACTAAGGGGGTAGCAAACGGCGCGCTCTACTTCACTGGGGTGACGCTGTTTTCAGCCTTCATTAATGAGCAAGGTTTGGGCGAGCTGGTGCAGCAGCAAACCTCAGGCGAGTCCACGGTGCCCTTGGCGCTGATGCCATTGCTGACTTCAGTGGCGTTGCGGTGGACCTGGGCGCCCAAAAATCAATCTGTTGCGTCTCAAGCTGTAGGTGGGTCGCTCGCTACGCAGTTAGCCTCGCAACAGCCCCTTCAGAGCCACGTCATGATCCCACTCTACGCGACACACCAGCGCAGTGAAATACTGGAAGTGGTGGATATGCCAATCGTGTCTAATGGCGAGCTAAATAAGTGGTATGAAAGTGGAGTATGTTTGACTGCATGGAAGCCGAACGAATAGTTAGGGCAATGCACCTATTTGTGTAGTTTTACCTATTCCGAATCCCGAATTTCCATCGGCACTTTACTATTTTTTTCTAGTTGACTTTTAATCATAGTTATACCAATATTTGCACTTTATGTTGCGTTGCATTGTATTACATGAGTAGTCCTTTCAGAGACTTGTATAAGTCGTGGAGGAAAGAGAACATTCTTGCCTTGTTTCTTGGATAAATGTATCCATCAATCACAAAGGGAATGACGGAAAATGAAAATGTAATAGGAAGACGGGATGACATCTTGCCCTTTCAATATGGAATCCTTGTGGATGCCGTTCTATTCCACGCGACAATACCGTCATCCCCCCCCTTCTGCTCACCACAAAATAAAAGAACAAAATTTAAGACTAAGTCTCCAGAATTATACACCTGAGTCAACGAAGAAAGAATCATGCAACTTCCATTTAAGATATCCACCTCTGTCACCGCGCCGCCAGTGGGATTCATGAGCGTCACGCTCGTGGGAACAGGTGCTTCCTCCGGAATTCCCATCATTGGTCATATTAACGCCGACTGTGCTTGTCAGGATGCTATTGATCACCCTGAGGGCAATCCCAACCAACGCTTGAACGTAAGCCTTCTCATTACGGTACCTCACACCGCGAAGTCGAAACTGACCGCGACAGACGAAAAGAATGCGAAAGCAAACACAACCTGTGGGGACCAAGAAGAAAATGCATCTATTCACAACAAGTTTGGTGGTGAGTTCCTGAACCAAATAGATGGTGTTCCAGTCCGCTTCACGCTTATTGATTGTGGTAAGACCTTTCGCGATGCCTATTTTAAGGTACTCGCTCGACATGGTATGCATGAAGTCGATGCACTGTTGTTAACGCACGATCATGCAGACGCCATCATGGGACTGGACGACCTGCGCGATCTCCAGAGGATGCATATGGTGGAGGCGAATTGGATTGTCGATACTTACATTCCTACTTACCTTCAGTGCCAGACGATGCATATCATAGAGAAAAGTGTTGGGTATATATTCCGGAACAGCCAGATTGTGGGCCCTGCACCAAAAACTGCCTCAGAGCACAAGGCTCTGCTTCGGGAGCACGTGGAGCGGGAAAAGCATACGAAAGGTGAAAATGCGTGGAACGACATTGGAATTCGACGAGCCACCGCGCTTCAATTCTTTACAGTTTCTGAGGAGACACCTGCTAGGCTATACATACCTGCATTAAACACCAACGACGCCCCTGAATTGGAGGATGCCAATATTCCCATGTACTCGTTGCCAGTCGAGCACGGCAAGAACTACATTTCGCTGGGTTTTGTCTTTGGCCGCGGAACAGCCTTCAAAAGTCAATTAGTAGGAGCCACAGGGGCATCCACTGCCACTCCGGACGAGTTAACAGAAAAGAGCTGCGTGGTATATATCTCGGATGTCAGCAGCATCCCAGAGGTGTCCATGAAGTTCCTCCTTGACCTCGTGAAAATTGACTTATTGATCATCGATTGCGTACACTGCCCTGGAAAAGTCTGTCATGTACACATTACGATGGATGAAATGGCTGAGCTGGTGGTTCAGCTGAAGCCACGCTATGCCATCGCCGTTGGTATGTACTGTGATATCAAGCATGACGCTGGCAACGCCTGGCTCCAGGACGCATTGGAGGGGTATGTACGCGATGGGCGGCTAAAGGCCGGTGAGGTGCTGGGGATGTCGTTGGGTTATGATGGAATGGAGCTAATACTTCCGCAGTAGTCTGAAAGAAAAGGAATACAAGGGGTTGAAAAGTGTATAACCATTAAAGAAACATGGGTAATTTCACCAACAAGATGAACAAATTGTCTTCCCCCCACAACGCTCCAACCCTTAATGGAAGAAGGTCAAACATCGAGCTCTCTATATATTTTCATCAGTTCACTTAAACTTTGGGCTACCACTTACGCATATCAGCTTTTGACATCAAACAAAAGGAACATGATGAGTTTAGTATTTCTTGGAACAGGTGCCTCTTGTGCAATTCCAGTGATTGGACACCTTCATCGTGGCACCAGCTGTGTTTGTAAGGATGCTATGGACAATCCAAATAGTTTAAATCGTCGAAATAACGTATCCCTCTTAATCCATCTGCCCAAGGAAAGCATCCAAAATGCATGCTCTAACACAAGTGGTACGGATAAAGGCCCAGGAGGTGTCGGAACGAATGTAAGTAAATTGAAAGGTGACAACATTGGAGGAAATAAAAAGAGTTCTCAGGAAGATATCAATATCATAATTGATAGTGGTAAAACATTTCGTCACGCATACTTTCGTGTCTTGGCACCACGTCATATCCATTACGTAGACGCTCTTTTGCTTACACACGGCCACTCAGACGCCATGCAGGGGGTGGGGGAACTTTGCGAACTACACGCCATGGCTCGTCAGCAACTTCGCCGCTCCCCTGGCTTATCCATAGCGATGCAGCCGCAAAACGTCGCGCGTGTTTACACTCCACCCACGACAGACAGCGTCAACGAACCCCCTGAGAGGGATGGGCGCGCGAAAAACACCAACGTGGCATCACCATCCAAGGAAAACTCCACAATCCTTCCGCCGGCGCTTAGACGGTGCCGGATCCAGACCTACCTCACTGCCTTAACCCTTGAAAATATACGAGTTATGCTTCCCGATGTAGCGCAGAACAGCCGGTACTTGGGCGCAGCGCCGGCGGACGTGGCGGCCTACGAGAATCTAATGAAGCAAGTCGCCAAGCAAGATACCGATCAGGCAGATGAGGGTAGCTGTGACGACGGCCTGATTGGACTCGATATCTTCGAGGTCTCTGAGGAGGCACCGATGCCATTATATATTGATGCGCTGGAAGATCTCGTCCCTATGTACTCGTTGCCAGTCGAGCACGGCAAGAACTACATTTCGCTGGGTTTTGTCTTTGGCCGCGGAACAGCCTTCAAAAGTCAATTAGTAGGAGCCACAGGGGCATCCACTGCCACTCCGGACGAGTTAACAGAAAAGAGCTGCGTGGTATATATCTCGGATGTCAGCAGCATCCCAGAGGTGTCCATGAAGTTCCTCCTTGACCTCGTGAAAATTGATGTCCTTGTATTCGATCTTTTGGCCGCAAAGGGAAGTTCCTCTTTGCCGCACACCTGCTGGGACGACATCATGCCCTATCTAAGACTGCTGACGCCCAAACAAACATTTTTTGTGGGCATGTTCTGTTCGTTGGAGCATCACACTTCAAATCGTCTATGGGAGATTGATATGGCCGCGGAGAAGAAGCGAGTAAAGGAGCTGTTGCTGCATTCTCAGTCCTCCTCCAAAAAGAATTCATCCCTTTCTAATGCAGCAGACGTCTATGCAAAGGGCACCACTTTGGATAAATTCTATTGCGAAGGAGAACAGTATGAGGATCTGGAAGTGCGTTGGAGACGTTTTCTGGAGATCGATACGCCTAAGCTAGCTTACGATGGCCTGGAGGTACCACTGCCGTTATGAGGCTGATCTTTTCATTATTTTTATTCTGTTTTTTTTTCGTTCACATCGTCTCGTTCACAAGACGTGAAAAAAGTAGCAACTATTGAGGAGAGAGAGGCGAAGAAGCGTGCACATGAGTATTCCACGCAAGTACATTTGTGCAAAAATGACGCTCATAAATAGAAAATGGTTATTTTTTTTTGTTTTTTGTTACTGTTGGTGTTTTGTAACCTGGTTGCGATTTGGAAAGACGCATACGATGCATATCAAAAGTGTGACCCTTGAAATGATGGGCATGTTGTGTTCATATCTGTGCATGCAGAAATCAACTCCACTTGCTACCACTTCTGTCTTTTTCTCTTTGGTTGCACTTATATCGACCTTGCGGTATCTGCATTCTTCATGTAATCATATCAGTCCTAAAACACGTTAGTAATGGCCTCTGTTATCTGCATTCTCGATTCCAAAGGTGCCCCGCTTATCTATCGAACCTACCGGGGTGATATTTTGCAGGATGTCCCCTCCGTATTTCGTCGACGCGTTATTGATGAAGACGAGTCACGCATAAAACCTGTTTTCATTGAAGATGGCACTACGTACACCTTTGTTCAACACAACAATGTATATTTTCTTGCGGTGAGCAACGTGAACTCGTTCACACTCCAGCAAGTAGCTTTCATGCGACGCTGTATTACCGTCTTCGAAAGTTACTTTAAGCGCGTGAAAGAGGAGACCATACGTGATAACTTCGTCATCATTTATGAGCTGTTAGACGAGATGGCTGACTTCGGGTTTCCACAATACACCGAGGGGAAGATCCTCAAGGATTATATTTTTCAGAAAGGACTCATTGCTTCTCTATTGATGGACGATACGCTAGCCTCAAAGACCCTACCCGCGGCGGTGACTGGCGTGAGTGGTGTAACGCCATGGCGTATGCCGGGGAAATATCTTTATAGCAACAACGAAGTGCTTTTTGACGTCGTTGAGCGAATCAGCCTGCTGGTTGGGCAAAACGGCGAAACCCTCTCGAGCGATATCAGAGGGTCTGTCCTAGCCAACGTGCACCTTTCCGGAATGCCGCTCTTGCACATGGGTCTCAATGATAAACTGTTCTTCGATCTCAATGGTCGTAGGTGTTCCCGAAACACGATCGACCTGGAGGATTTTAAGTTTCATAGCTGTGTTAAGCTTAACCTCTTTGAGAGCGAGCGCATCATTAGTTTCATTCCGCCGGACGGGAAATTCGAGCTTTTCTCCTATCGCTTGTGTAAGAAGCTGCTATCACCGGTGATGGTGACGTGCCAAGTCACCCGCTTTGGTACTTCGCGGGTGCAGATCTCGGCTGTGGTGCGCACCATGTATCCCCCTAAAGTTGCCGCCAACATGTTGGAAATCCTCATTCCAATCCCAGCTGATGCGGATTCACCCTTTTCAAGTTGTTCGCATGGGTTATTCCACTACGACGCGGGATCGAATTTCTTAGTCTGGAACCTGCATAGCGTTTCTGGAAAGAGAGAGTTCAACTGCACCGTGCAATTTCACCTACCAAGTGTGCGCAGTGACGAGGCTCTGGCGAAAGCCCCGATCCAAGTTCGATTCGAGATCCCATACTTTGTGCCATCGGGTTTCCAAATACGCTATGTGAAGGTGACAGAGAAGTCAAATTACGAGTCCTTGGCGTGGGTGCGTTACCTTACACGGAGCGGGGATTATCAGATCCGAACTGATTAACAGCAAAGTGGGGAGTAAAACACTCTGTAGGGGGAGAAAGAGGGAAGGTAATAACATCATGAAAGGCAGAAAGGAAAGCGAGGAGGGGAGCGCACTTGCGTTGGAACTTGCAACATGAAAAGCTAAGCAAATAAATTAGTGGTATGTTAGGTGGTATGCTATGGTCTCCCTTTCTGGAGATGTTTTTTTTGTTGAGTTTTTGATTTTCTGTCGCTTCGTTTGCTTGCTTTCGAAAATTGGAGGAATGAAGCCTTGTAGACTGGTGAAATAAGCACAGAACAAAAACACCTTTTCATATAGAGGAATCTTTTACTGAAAGAGAAAAAGACAAAAAAGAGCACATGCTGTACTTATAGAATCTATCAAATGATGGTGTGTATCTTTAGTTAACCAAAAGTATAATATACTGTATGTCCTTCTAAAATTATAGCATAGGGTTTTGACTGTCTACCCTGTCCTTGAGCAATTTAAAGTGTGGAATCCTTTCCTCCCTTTTCGATGGTAGGGCATATCGAATCCTGTATTGATTATCAAAGGGACCTTGCTGTGTTTCACTACTAGTGTGTTTCCACAGGAGAACCATTACACACCAAAATTTGAGCCAGGTTGTTTAACGATGTCAGTGGCAATGCTGAGGAAGATGGTGCGCGCAATGAGAGGTTGATTTGATGTTTCGGTCTACGGAAGCACGGAGGAGCGTCAAGCCAAAGTGCCTCCGCTAGGAATATGTGTAGCTAATAGTATAGCAGGCACAGCTCGCATTCAGGAAGAAAGATAAGTATCATTGCATCCTTTTCTTCTCCTTCCTATCTTGCATTTTTTACATATCTTTTTGCCACATTTGTTGTTTTGTATGCGATGTTATTGGTTTGTTGATTGATTCTCTCGCATGCAGGGTCCCCTCAGGTTACTCCCTCGGCAACACTCAATGAAGGCAATCTGGAGGACCTCATTATATTACGTTTTCCCACCATTTGTCGCCTTTTAGTTTACGAAAAAAGGCCGACAGTTAGCAAAATAGGACTCACAGCATTCTTATTTAGCGTAAGGATTGCCATTTAAGCTATGAGCAGCATGGGAAAAAGTCTGCGTGGTCAAGATAATGAACACACTGCGTCCCAGTCGGTGAGTTCCAAACGCCGTCGTATTGTTGGCAATTATGAGCTTGGCGCGATCCTCGCGATTGGGAACTTTGATTGCTACACACAACTCTGCACTTACATCCCAACCGGCGCTTGTTATGTGGCGCGTATTTACGATAAGGCGCTGCTCGCCGAAACTCAGTGGATGTGGGAGCGTGTGCGCGAATCCGTCCACGTTCAACGCACCCTTCCAGAGCACCCGAATCTTATCGAAATGGTCGAATGCTTCGAGACCATGACGTCCTTGTATATTGTCATGTCGATGTTTTCGTCTACAAGCGTTGTGAAGCTGTTTGTAAGTCATCTGAACCCCTTCACATGTAACACGAGTCCTCTCGAAGACTCCCGAGCGCTCATCATTGAGCAGAAGCAAACCTATAACCCAGAAACATCTGTAAAACAATATAGTAGCACCGGCGGCGATGGCCTTCTCCGTCGTGCCAGCAAGGATTTCAGGGTCCATGACGACAATAAGGTGTATAATTGCTACAACGATGTGGGGTGGGATTCCGGTAGCAACGCGAGAAACCTCTTTGCACCGACCCTCGCCCCTCCCCAACCCACCGAGGCCGTCCCCTCCTCTTATGGGAAGGAAGCCAGGCGGGGCATCCTCAGTCGAGAGCGGGACTCACCGTCGGGATCGGAGGAGCTTCGCGACCGCGCCGCACGCGGGCGCCCCTCCCGTTCCCCTTCCCAATCTCAAGCCCCCCAACCCCAGGGATCTCCCTGCGAGAGGCGACGGACGTCTCTCTCACCGAGCTCCACCACGGAAGCGGGGCTCCTCCCCCTACCGTTTGGTCGTTCCGAACCCGGAAGGGAGGGTGTCTCCGGGGAGTCACAGGAGGGCCCGGTCGACGTCGCGTTTGTTCGCCACGTCTTCCTCAACGTCGTCCATGGGGTGTTGCATCTGCATCGCCACGGCGTCGTGCACGGCGGGATCGCCCCCGATCACGTGTTGTATAACGCCGATCGCGGGATGGTGAAGATTAGTAATATGATCTCCTGCTACCGCTGTCGGCAGGGGACGAAGCGGACGGAGCTGCGTGGAACTCGCCACACCGTCGCCCCGGAGGTGCTTAAGCAGGAGCCCTACGATCCTTATCTCACTGACGCATGGTCGCTCGGGGTGCTGCTGTATTTCATGCTCAACGGTGGCCACTACCCACACGATGGGGCGAACACCCTCAAACATATTCTTTACCACCGGATTCGACCAATGAAGCCGAACATCCCGGCAAGCGGTGCGGATCTCGTAATTCATCTTCTCCAACCAAATCCAGCGGAACGTCTGACTGTCGAGGCGATTCTATATCACCCGTTCTGCTACCAAGGTCCCTCCCTCGACCTAAGCACCACCACGGGCCGAGTCGACGACGAGGATGAGAGTCTTAGCCGAAAAGACCTGTGCAACGATTCCTTCGCGTCGCCGAAAATTTTAGAAAGCAGCATCCACTCCTTCGCGGGTCTCCTAAGTGGGACGGCCCGCTCGCAAAGTGCGACGAGGATCGCCAGCTCCCATCAATCCAGCCATCGTAGCCTCCTTCAACTCCGCAAGCGGCGAATGCCGAGCAACTCATCGCTGGGGGGTACTGGAGGAGGGGAGGGTGTAGGGGGCTCGCGCAACCCCGCCGCGGTGGCGAATCGTGGGCAGGGTTTGTCGTCGCCATCAGGGCCGATCGCACTCTTGCCCTTCCACGTTGCGTCGGGTAGTACATTGCTGTATTCCTCTACCAAGAAGGCAAACTCCCTCCGGCTTCATTTGGATGCCCGAAACGAGGATGAAGCCGCGGGTATCATTCAACGAGCCTATCGTATGTATCGCCAGAAGAGGCATTTCCGCTGGGTGACGCAAACCCTGCTGAAGAAATCCAGTAGGAGACCATCGCATTACAACATAAGCAAATCTGATGGATATGGCATCTCATCGAACCGATCTCTCTCATTTCGCTCTCGGCAGCCAAAGCCGTGGGGCACGCCGAAGCCGTCGTTATCGGTGCAGGTACACTGCCCGAATGAAAACGACCTTCCTGTCGAGGTCTTTCCGAAGGACAGCGCCCAGGTAGGATGCAACCCCAAGGATGCCATGTTGCCATCCGATCAAGAGAATGCAGTAGGGTACGACACGAACAACGATGTCAGGAATCTGGCGTCCAGCCAAGTAGCATGTTCACTTGATACCGAAGAGGAGGAGGCGGCGGTGCGGTTGGCTAAATCTAATTTTAACGCCACCAAGGCTCAAGAGAGCCATCAATTATCACCGTTGATTCCCGAAAGCAAGCAGCCGCCTGCCATGTCCAGTCAAACCTTTTCTTTTTTATACAAGACCCTTGGTTGCCGATCTCCGCAGATCCCGCTGCATCATCGCTCGAGACTTTATAATAATATCCCTCCCATCCCCTCAGCGGCGAGGCCCCCTAGTAAGGGTTTCAGAAGCAATGGCGGTGGTTTCCACTTGCCATATTTGAATGCTCAACAGCCGCTGCGAAATACGGTGTCTAAACCCTATGCCAACACCAACTATGAGTACAAAAATGGTGTCTTTTTGCCCTCAAAAACAATGTAAAATAATTGTAGGGACGCACAGTATAGAGTACTGCGGCATCTGAATTGAGTACTTTTTATCCCCGCAGTTTCTGGTTTGGGTATATTGAACGGATCTAACGTTCCTCGGCGTTGTGACAACTACACAAGGGGTGTATTTTTGTCAACATTTTTTTCCCCGTTTCCCACTTATCCCCTCTGCAGATTTTTCTTGCATGTATACTAATGGTTACATACCTTATTTTTATCCCTTTTTTGCTAACCAACAGGCCTGTCATGGGTTCGCGTCGTTGGGAGGTGCATTAATGCTCTTTGAGCAAAAGAATGCAAAACTGCTTCCAGTGCTACGCTACCTACATGTCTCTTCTCTCCATGCCTTTTTTTAATGATCATCATAGTAAAGGGGGATTTTGTGTACCCCCCATGTTGAGACCTGAAGGAGTCGAAGTGCATGTGGTTGCTGACCAGCGGGAGGTGCGAATGACAGCTGAACTTGAATTCCACACCAGTGGTGCTAAATAATAACACCAATTGCATCTCAAAGTGATCGATCGAAGAATGCCTCGGTTCATTATTTCATGCCAGCGAACGCGTGCCTGTGAGCAGCGAAAATTATCTTCTAGATGTATTTGCAGCAATGATAAATGCCTTGCAGGGGGGTGGGTGGCGTTAGGCGAATAATCCTTACTGAATTCGATTCAAGTCCCAATCTTGATAACTCAGTGTGGGTCCAAAGCTCAACTTGACATGAAGTGAGTTTCTATCGTACGCAACGAAGGGTCTGAACCCATCTACACCCATTTCTGGTCGCACGAATGACCCAAGACTAGCAGTCTCGTTACCCAAACGCGAAATGATGAAGCGGGTGATCGCTCCAAGGTAGTTTCACCTATTCATCTAGGTGAGGAAACATCCAAGTTGTGCAAACGGATGAAAACCACAAAAACATCTCGCCATGGACGTCGACTCATGGTGCTTATGATAAAATAAAGAGATGAGAGGTCCAGCACGCCTATGCGCAGCATTTCCTCATCATTTTATATTTATCGACTAAGCTGATCATTATACCTTTTTTCTCCCCTTCCCCTCTCTTCTTCTTTTCTTCCCTTTTCACCGCTTATTCGTTTTTACTATGTGCTTAGGCATTTACTCGAGGGCGGATATTACCGCTGGGGTAACAATTATATATTTCTCACTACGGTGCACGATAATGCCAACAATAGCGATAATTATTACTTCATATTACCCCTTTACGAATTTATTCTATATTCCTGCTTTTCTACACACATCTTGCATATACTCTCGTCCCCGTTTTCAAAGGATTGCTAACAGTTATTGCCATCCTCTAAGCTATATTATCCTATTTTATTTTTACAGATGCCCAGTGCTATTAAAGATGAACAATGCGAAGAACAGTGCAAGCATTTGCAACTGACGCAAGATAGTCCCTCGCTACCTGTATCCTCCACGACTACGCCTTGCAATGGAACAGATTCCGTTGTTGCCCAGGGTTCCCCCACTTCCCCACAAAGCCGCAACGAAAACGCGAAGCTACTCGCGATTGAGAGTAACTTGTTGAGTTTTATTGGCGGTGATGTGAGCTCACTCGAGGATGTCATTTTGCTCATCTTCGGGTACGGGTCGATTCTCTGGAAGAAGAACTTCAACTTCGTCGCGGAGTACGAGGCGTACATCAGGGGATATAAGCGCGTCTTCTACCAGGGCTCACAGGATCACCGAGGGGTTCCCGGGAAGCCCGGTCGCGTTGTGACCTTGGTTCCAGATTCCAGCCCCCAAAGTCGCGTCTATGGGAAGGCCTTTCAACTCCCTTCTAATACCCAGGAGATACTGAGTGCGCTGGATGCCTTGGGTGTTCGTGAAACCGGGTACCAATGTATCAATGTGGAGCTGTTTGACACCCACTTGGCCCTTCGTCACCCTCAAGGAGGGGCCGAAAACGCAGTAGGTCATAACAACGAGACAAAGTTGGATATATATTGCCACCGCAATTTTCCTCATCATGAATCTAAGGACGTCGGGGATGGAAAACAGAAGAAAAAGAGAGTGGTCTCTCTTTGCTATATTGCCACGCATGACAACGCGGATTACCTAGGCGAAGCTCCGATTGAAAGCATGGCCAAAAACATCATTGAAGCTGCTGGTCAGAGCGGAACGAACTTGGAATATCTGTTTCGTTTGACCAAATGCCTTCAAGAGATGGGCACGACGGATCTACATGTTTTCGAGTTGGATGCAATGGCGCGGCAACTACTAAATAGCAAGGAAGCTGCAACCGCTCGGGAAGACTTGAAGTAGTTTTATAGAATTAAATATTTTGGTCTTTTTTTTTACACTAAATACGAGATAAATGCCATTCAGAAGTTATACCTACATTTCTCGGAATAGAAGCAGGCGAGGACTTCACCTAGTGCTTGGGTAAGAAATTGAACTTGATTATTACTACGGTACGGGATAGCTATGAAGGTTTCTGAAGCAGGCAGACGGACCTGCTGTCCGCAAAACTCTGTTACACCCATTTTTAACAAATAACATCCATTTCTTCTCAGCAGTGAGCTTACCTTATGTTGTAACATGTGCACATAATTTATGATTTCGGGCCTACGGCGAAAGTGAATAATAATTATTATTATTAGTTTAAGAGTGATTGCAGTACACCAAATTAACCCAAAATCCAAGCTGATATTGCTGAATCCGCGTTAGTAGTTTCTACGTACAATTTTAATACTGTTTTAGCATCTCACTGCAAAAGTATTCAAGTACCAAAGATATATATTATTTAATTATTTCCATCGGTGAGTCTCGTTTTGTTTCTTCTGTTTTACCATGGTGCATGCAGGTTCCTGAAAATAGTACTGTTCGTTTACATTTCCTGTTTTCCTTTGCTCTACTTTATGTTTGTTATAGTGGGTGGTTCCAACACTGACTGACCCAAGTGTGGAAAAAATTGTCTTGGAAAGGATAAAGTAATTTTGTTGGGATATCCCCTTGCAATCGAGATCATGTTTGGATTATCAATTAAGCTATGCAACACATTTTTGACGCGCTCGGTAGCAAAGCCTCCAATTACCGTGATTCGCAGCGGGCCCAAGTGGTGGTCCGACCCGGAGCGTATGGTTAAACATAAACTCCTCTACTTTACTATGGGCATCGACCAGCTTCCGCTGCGTCGCACAGCGGTCATTCAGAACGAGCAGTTCCGCTTCCATATGTGCAGGCCGTCTCCTCGTATTAACGACGCCACTGGATACAAGCGCTCGCGAAGCGGGCAAATGAAAACGTGGTACCGTCGTATCCAGTACCAGGAATATCATCTACAGCATCTCTTCACTAGACATGCATGGGGACTGCTGCGGGTGTATCCTGGAAACACCACGAAGATTCAAGGTAAGGCGGATGATGGCTATGTTGGCTACGACTCAGTTCCGTATCATCGGTACAATCGATCCCCGCTCCCTTTCCCTGCAAGAGATATATATGGACGTCGAAATTAGTTGAAGCTTCCCTTTCTGTGTTCTGAGTGTGAGTTGCCTCGGTGCTAAAAAATGCTTCCTTTGTGAATTCAAACAACCATACACAAACAAAAATATCTGAACCACAAAAATGCCCTGGTAACCATTTAAAAGCCCCACGGGGCCGAAGCGCTGCATTCCACATTTTCATCATACCCCTTCCCCCACCCTACCTTTTTCCCTCTCCAAGGTGCGACGGACAAACCGGGCTCATGGCCCCTGCACCGTCCGTGTAGCATCGCTCATACCGATGCCGTCATAGACACGTCCGGAGGGCGCGTACACATGGCGCGGTTGGTGCAAATGGTAGCATGCCGCTTCTAGTTAGCGGTTGATCCAGGTTCGAATCCTGGACCGCGCAGTTTTTTCTCCCGGGGCCGGCACCCCTGAAGCAGGCCACCAATTTCCGAATCCCCCCCCTCCCAGACTGATTATGTTACTGTTAATTTGCAATCCTCAGAGTTCTCGGGTTCAACGGATTGCAAAAATGGAGCCGAAATGAAAAATATGGTGCCCCTGTCCGACAAGAAAGACGCCTTGCCATTTCAATGTGGCATCAAACTTCTCAAGGCTGATAGTTTTTACCGGTCCGGCTTTGTTTAAGACCCACATTTACTCCTCACCTGGCCTTGTTTTATTTTGCCCCCACATTTCCGGTCATGCTGCCGTTGTGATGAAGAAAGGGGAAGGAGGTAGGTTCGGCACCAGCTTTTGATGCATTGAAGCGGCATTCCATGGTCTCTATTTATTGGAGAAGATGTGTTGGGTCGTGAACTAAATTACTGGAATTCATTTCTTGCAAAATTCAGTAAAGGGGGGGGGGGCTTTGCACTCTTTTCTCCCCTTACCTCAAGGGTTGCCAAACGAAGTGTAAAAAATTAGTGGGAAAAATAGCTGTAATAAGACATCAAGGAGGTGGTGACTATATTCAAATCGTCAATTACGTTTCAAAATACTTCGTTAGTGTATGCAGTAGCAAAGTTACGATATTTTTTTTCAGGAAAAAATACCATATTCCCCCTCTCCCCCCTACGCACGATAGATCATTTTAGAATCGGCGCTATCAACCACCCTAAAGTGCTTCTTCTCGGATTCCACCATCTTGATGAGACCGCCATAGTGGTTATTGGCGGCGCGTTGAACACTCAAAGAGGCCCAAAACAACAGATTCGCGCTTTCGACGCCGTTATGTGGAATGAGATCTTTTACAGCTTGAATGACATCCGTCCGGGATAGGTTGGCCTCCGCTGCGATCTCACTTTCCAAAAGCCACGAGCTATCCCCCTCGCATCCCCCACCGCACCCGGAAGTCTTCGTCAAGGGATCCTCGGGTTGTTTAGGATCCCGACCGACCACACCACCGGCGTGGAGACTTTCGTGGGGTTTAGCGGGCTCGCTTTCGCGGTGGGGGGTGGTGGAGGTTGGGGCGTTGATCTTGTGAATGGAATACACCCCGGGCGCCGTCTCCCGGCAGGCAAATAACCGAGGGAACTGCTGGAGGATGGTGACGATTCGAGGTGGCAGCGCCACGCGCATCGCCGGACTCGCGCACTCGACAAAAAGCGCCAACGAACACGGATTATCGGGTGGCATGACGTAATGGAATACCTTGGCGATATCCAAAGGCGACAGGTACGGATTTTCAACCCGCAAGTAGGTGCGGGAGGTCATATCCGTCCCGTCCGGCTCCTCCTCCGTCCGCGTTAACGGATCGGAGGAGTCCACCCGGCAGACAAATCGTTTTCCCACTCGAAAAATCTCCGGATGCCGTTGGAGGATCTGCATCATCCCGTCATAGCCCCCGACTTTCTGTTGCTCGGTGGGACTCAACCGGACGTAGACGTACTCCGGGCGATCCCACGTCGGGCAGAGGCGATTCATGATCGCCAGAATCCCCGGAACATCCTCGGGGAATCGCTCCAAATCCTCCACGAAGTCCTTTTCCCATCGAGCGCTATCGACCCCGACGCGTCTTCGCACCAGCGGCACGCCCGCGTGGCGGGGGATGTGGATCTGGAAATCCTCCGACAACCGTTTCGCCATATCCAGCAGGTGCGCCTCCGTGAGATTCTTCTTGGTGTAGCGCTGCATCACCAAGGAAAGCGGGGCGAAGTAGGGGGGGCAAACGCGGAAAAAAAACTTCCGAATCGCCTTCTCGACGCTCGTCATCGCCTCCGGCAAGGGACGACCATCGGCGCCTAAGGGAATCAGCCGATTCGCCTGCCGCGTTTCGATCGCCAACGCGAGCTGCGCTCGCGCCTCCTCGGGGGTCAACCCGTGCGCCTCCGGGTGTAAAACCACACTCCGGCGAATCTCCACCGTTCCCGCCATATCCCGCAGCTCGAAGTAGTACGGTTGGCGGCGAAACCACTGCAACGGGCTGCTGACGCGGATCCGCGACTTTTTCACCGCGGGTGGGATCCCGAGGTTGCCCATATTCCCCCAATTCACCGGGATGTATTTCAGAATCTCCGCCACATCCTCCGGGGTGGGGACGCCGCACGCGGTCCCCCACCCGGCGTAGTTATTTTCCGCGCACGCCTTGGATGGTTCGCCGCGCGACGGGGTGAACCGCGGCGCGGTGCGCTCCTCCGGGGTTCGCCAGGTTATCAAACGATCCTGATGCACCCAAAACCCCGCACGAAAGGATTCGTCGCGCAAGACGAGGGCCTCGAAATCGTCGTAACGAAGCGACCGTGCGGGGTCGGGTAACGCCGGGGCGGAAACGGCGTTCGCCACCGCGGCCGCTCGCAGGACGCCGAGGTAGGCGTCGTTGAGCAGGCAATACCGCCGCCCCGTGCGGGCCCCTTCCGCGCGAAGAAACCGATCGAGCCGCGCGAAAATCACCCGACGGGAATCCCCCCCGGGCGAGGTTTCCAACTCTCCCATCTGGCTGAGAAGCTCCACGGCGGCTTTTTCGCCACCACGCGTTCGCACCCGCAGGCCCGCGGGATCGCTTTCGGAGGCGACTGCCGAGGCGAGCGGCTCGCAAGGAGGCGCCGCTTCTTTGGGGGAATTCGCGCGCGCGTCTTCGCGCGCCGCAGCCTCGTCGGCGGCGGCCGCGGTCTTGCGGATTTCCAGCAGCGTCGTGCGTTGAATCCACTCGACGACGGGGAGGCGGGATTGCTGAATCGCCTCCCGCGTCGCCGTGGGGATTTGATCGAGAAAACGGCTCAACGGCATCCCACTCGATTGAGGCGGAGGCGGGGACTCCATGCCTCCGCCTTCGCCGTCGGTTGCTTCCCCTTTTGGTTCGTTTCCCGTCTGTGCTTCCGCGGTGGAGGAGGTCATAAAGCGGGCGACGGTGATCGCCGCGAGACGCTCCGGCAACGGGCGTGAAAAGAAATCCCCCAGGCGGGTTTCGCCTTTGGGATCGAGCCCCTCCTCGGTGGTGGAGGAACGAATCGCCACCGCTCGCCGCGATGCCGAGGAAAGGATCGGGTGGAAGAGCGGGAAGGGGTTCATTCGACTCCGTACGGGAAACATCCGCATCGCAATGGGGATCTGAACACGTGAGAACCGCAACGCCCCTCGGGAGAGCGAAACCACAACGCGAATGGTTCCCCCGCTTTGCATGGGCACCACCACCGACAGATTTCTTTGATTATGTTTTTCTCCCCTCTTGGTGAATCGAAGGTCCAAATGAAACAATTCTGAGGCGGTACGACACGAAGTTTTGAATTAAAGTTGGAAAAAATGATCAACCACCCTAATCACCATAAATAGTATTTCTTGGGTGGACAAAAAAGGGAAAAAAACATGGGAAGACGTAGAAAGTATTCTCGAGTGAAGCAAGGCATCGTCGATGATGCAGTCCATTGACATCATCGATATTACGGGGAAAAACGAACTCGAACATGAAGAATATTTGAGGGAGGATTTATAGATCAGCCTCATTTATTGAGCATGTTATTAGTGAACCTAATTCATTTTCAGATGTGAAGATGTCAAAATATCACTTGTCAATTTTCGGACAATATCATCAAATCAAAAAGTCATAGTTATCCAGCTATGCTTTCTGTTTTTTCTTCCTTGTTCACAAGTGAAGGGGTCTAAACAATGATAAAAAAATCGGCATAAGTATTGGAATAGCAAATAATAGTTTTGGGCCCACGTAAATGTGAATTCTTGTGTAAACAATAAAGCATACATCCCTCGACACCTGGCTATATATATGCTACTAAACAATAAGTGTAGATATATATATATATATATATATATTGATCCGTAGCTTTATCTATCTATATATACATATAGATAGATACAGAAAGAAACGTGCGTTTGCTTAAGATTGATAAGTTTATTCACATGCATATGGCGATTATCATGCATTTCTTCTTTTTTCTTTTCTTAGCAATGGGAGAAGGAAGGAGGCAGAAGAGGAGGGGAATACCACCGCCGTCGTCTTTCGGGTCGATCGTCGCGCTTCGTATCATAAACCCACCCCCTTCCCCTCCGTCGTCGTCATCTTCTTCCCCTCCTGCGCCTTCGCCGTTCGATAAGCTCCCACGCTAGGCCATGGCCTGCAATCTCTCGGCGAGCTTTTCCATTTCCTCCTCCGCCCCTTTCGCCTGGGCCTGCTGCGCGGCGAGGCGCTCCTGGAGTTGGGCGGTTTCCCGCGTCACCCGCTCCCGTTTTTCCGCGGCCTCGTACTCCGCCGCGACGTCGCGAGGCTCGTCGTAGCGCTCGATCTGCTCCAACACGTCGCCGACGCGGAAGGCGAACTCGTCGTAGAGGATCACCCCACACTCCAACCCCGTCTCCACGCAGGGCACGAGGTCTTTAAACCGACGAAGCTCCTTCAGGCGACCTTCGTAGACGATCTCCGCCGCGTCCTCGGCTTCAGAGGGTTCCGTCGCGCGGGGTTTGCCCCGGAGAAGGGGGCCCCGCCGGACGCGAAAGGTGAGGTGGGCGGCGTCTAAGGTGCCTTTCGTCACCATCATCCCCCCGGCATTGCCCCCGCGCCCGGCTTGCGAGGATTTAAAGGTTTGCAAACACTCCGCCGAGGCGACGACGCGGGTGCGGGAGATCGGAGGGAGCTGATCCACCAAACACTGCTTGAGCTTTTCGATCCCGTAATACAAGACGTCAAAGCGAATCACCGTCACGTGGCTCGGCACCGCGAGCGTCATCGTATCCTCGCAATCGCCGTAGACTAACAGGCAGCCCGGTTGCCCGGAGGCGCCGACGAGCATGACGTCGGCATTCCGCAACCCCCCAATCTCCGTCGTTTTGATCTCCATCGAGATCCCGTCCAGGCGGGGGAGCTCGTAGATCGTCTTCAGCATCGCCTGCAACATCCCAAACGTGGCCGCCTTGCAGGTGATCACGAACGCCTTCGTGCTGTACGCGCGGACGAGGTTGTTATCGGGCTTCCGGTTGTTAAACACCCCGAGCTGTTCTTGATTCAACAGCTGCAGGTAGTTCTCCCGCCCCCCTTCCACCGCGTAGACGTCGCGCATGAAGTAATAAAACTTCTCCGCGTGCTTTTCGCTGCTGACCTGGAGCAGCACCGCCCCGGGTTTCGGGGGGAGGCGAAACCCGTGGAGGATCACCGGGGTCGACGGCCCGGCCTCCGCGAGGGGTTCCCCGTGCTCGTCGAGGAGTTTCTTCACGACGCCGTAGACCATCCCGGCGACGAAGACCTGCCCGGGGCGAACCCGCCCGCAGCGCACGATCGCGGCGACCTCCTGCGCCGCGCCGGGGTGGCGGGATTCGATCACGCGCAGCTCCGCCCGGGCGGGGATCGGCGTCGCGACCTCGCTGAGCTCCGCATGCAGGTGGAGGGTCTCCAACAACGCCGCGATCCCGCGCCCGTCCCGGGCGCACGATC